ACTCGGTGTTGTCCAAGGACTTGCGAGACAAAGAATCACAAGCTTACTCGGTTGGGACTCGAACCCACGACCTCCTGCTCCTTAGTGCAGATGTCGACCACTCGACCACCGAGCTTGCCAGGGTCGAGTGGCCGGTTTGAGTGTATAATGTAGCAGGGAGTACGCAACCAAGGCTTTGTAAGATGGAATCTGCATAGGGGAGATGTAAGATTTTATATTGGGTTTTGCGCAGTGGTCTCCCCCAACTCTCCCTTTTCTAACCAATGAGGGGGTACTTGCGCACGAAGCCCATAACCTATGAAACGTGTCACATGCCTTGTAGCAACCATTGCCAACAGATCTCACCCAGGAACAAGATACTTTATTTTGGAGAAAAACCAAAGTTTCTGTTTTTACAGGGCCACCCACGAGCTGTGCGCTACCCAAATTTCTGCCAAAGATTGAGTTTAAAGCAGGGATTAAATATCTAAAGCCACCCTCCAGAATTGATTTTTGTTGTTGACTAGTACCGGAGTTAATACCCAATATAAGTGAGACTTTATCCTCAGTACCCACTGTCCGCTGTTTGAGTTTCTGCTTTGGAGAGCAAGTGACATAACTTTCTCTGAAACTTTGTTTGCCAATGCCAGCTAGATGCTGGGCATAAAGCCTTCCAGCACTAGCCCCCAATCCGCGATTAGGTTAGCCACAATATTAACTCCTGGTTTTCATCCGAACTGTAAATACGCGCACACCCATGTCTGAGGCGGTTGAAAGTGGAGCACGCACAGGCCAGGTTGTTACCATAAAGTTTGTATTGCAGTTGGACAAGGTGGCCTGATCTTTAGGCAAACAAGGGGAACATGTTTGGATGCTTTTGATCTAGAATCGCGACGAGGAAGTTAAATTGACCTCGGGTTCAATTAAATAAAAGTAAAGATTGCCTGGTGTTACGCTGTAAACCACAGGGGCCATTCTGTAAATTTGGGGTCCACTTTCTTTCCTATCCATGTTATTGTTACCCCTGGCATGTATGATTTTATAAATCTTGATGCATTCCTCAATGCATTCCACCTGCAAGAGTGATTATGAATAGCAAACTAATTACATGCACCCAACAAATGAAATAATGGCTAACCCTCCTATGCATACAGACATTCTTTGCCAAGTTGTCCTATCAGTCAAAATCAGTCAAGTGTCTGATTTTAACAGATTAAGAGCTCCCAGCCTACACAAAGCAGGATTGACTGGCCGTGACTGTTTGTGTAACTTGTTACAGCTATGCTTTGACTGTAGGTGATTGATAAGCCAGTTGTGGCTACCACTTGCCCGCTTTTATTTGTTGACTGAATCTGACTAGTCACAGTGCTTGCTCGCTTGCTTGAAATATGATCTGACTGTTCGTGACTAGCCTGTGTAAAAGGCATGGCAGGGAAGAAGATTGAAATTTTTTTGACTGTCTGTGACTTTTCAGACAGCAGAAGGGCTAAAGTCATTCTTAATGATACTTAAATGGGAACTGAACTGAAATGAGATTTCAATCAATGTTGTTATTTTCTTACATGAACGTGACTGATATACGTGTAGAATGAATTCTCTGCATATCCACCTTATCTGTTCAAGCGAGGGTGGTTTCCCTTTGGGCCTGATTATCAGGAGGGGAGTGGGAGATATGAAAGGTCATGTAAGGTCAGGGGTCAGAGAGAGGTCACGCTATCAGGGTGAGGTGGGGGTTGGAGTAGTGGTATGTTCTAACTGTAGTATAGAAGGGAATGGCTGACTGGAATTTTTGTGGTTCATTTCCCCACACAGGGTTTGGTCTGAATGTCGAGTGTTGAACTCTCTTGGAATTTAATAAACACATTTTTTTGGATTTGATGATGAATTATTTAACATTTTCTTCCCCCCCCCCAAACTCAAGTTCTGTGCTATATAGCCATGTCCTACTTCTGAAAAGTACTCTGTACTGTACATATGCATGTTTTGATTTGCATGTATTTCATTATGAGAAACACATTTAGATGTACCAGTAAGCACTGTTGTAAGCTTGTGATCTGTGCAAATTTGACATGGCCGTTAAAATTCTTTCAGCAAAAAAAAAAAATATCTGTCTCAGGTTTTCTTCTTCAGTCGCATATTCATCAAGTGCATCTATGGTCAATAAAAAAATAAAGAAATAAACACTCAAGATTTTTCAGAAAGACGTTCTTTCTTAAATGTTGACTTAAAATTTCTTTCAAATTCTTCCATAAAATGGGATGGATTTACAAAAAAAGTTTGTTTTGAAAGGATGAGGTTTATCAGGATTTTCAAAGAAACCCTTTTGAAATTTGGAATTCCTGAGGGTTTTTCTGCGAAGGTGTATTTACCTGTGAAAGTTTATACAGAACGAAAGAAATGGGTATTTTAAGGGGTGCCTGTAGGCAAATTCAAACATATTTCCTTGTTCTATGTGTACGTGCTCTTCGCCCCTCCGCGACCCTCAACTCTCTGCCGATTATTTTGTGGCTATTTTAGTTTCCCCCAATCTCGCCCCTGGTCTTAAGATATCAAAATTTCATGAAAATACCCGATTTTATTCTTTATTTTCAATTGGATGCAAAATGCCCCCTTAAAATTGTTTTAATCACTTTTCACATTGACCTTTGATACGCCAATGTTGTTCCTGTAGAGTTATTTGTTTTAGCGTGAAGGCCAATTCCCCCCCCCCCCCCAACAGTCATTTGTAATTAGGAAAGAATAAATACAGCCAGCTTTTTCGGATGTCGGCAAGCCTTTATTGTTTCTCGTTTTTGATGTCAGTCGGCCCGCTGGTAAATTTATTGGCCTCATGTAGCCAGAGGAAGGAAGTTATAAAATGCATTGTGTATGTGTTGGGAAAGCAACTAAAGGGGCACAATTGGCCAGATTTCACCAAAGAAAAGGTCATGTTTGGGATTCTTTACTGATCTTATTTCAAAGGTTTGTTTAGTCAAAGGAAATCCACACAAATCCTAACATTTGAGGAGACAATGTAGGACAAACTAGTTTGTTTACATCTGATGCAGCAGCAGTTGTTAGCCTTGTCTATGTGTATTTCAAACATCAAATGTGATGCGATTAAGCTAAATGAGTCGTTTGTCGTGAACTTTCATTTTGAGATTCAGGCCAAAATAGGGCCACTTCATCACATCACTTTATCACATCTCTTGGTGTTCCGACTTCCATAACTTTTGAACTAAAGATTGTGCCAACATTCGGCTTTCACAGCAGTAATGCTGAGATTGTGCTCTTTTCAAATCTGAAAAAAAAAAATTTGACCAGGGTCAACAAGTTAGCTTGATCGCATCACAAATTTTAAGCATCACTGTCGGCAAAAGACTGGTGCATATTAAAAAATGTATGCGATAATCCACTGTGTGATATCAGGTCCCATACTAGCTTTTACACATTTGAAGAACGTTTTGAAGAGAATTTTACTTTACTAAAATGACGACTACATTTGTAGCTTTCCAACGGTTTGATTTTTCGAGGATCAACATTTTGTACTCCAAAATTCCTGTGTGCAGTTATTACACAAAAACAGCAAATTTGCGAGGTATAGTTGTGTGAACGTTCATATCGTATTTTTTAAAGGTCATTCCAACTATTATCGTTTCAAGGTACAGGCATTTTCGAGACCAAATGGGTGCATTCTCTCAAGAGTGCCCCTTTAAACATTACTTGGGGCAGGGTTTCGGTGTCACGCTGGGATTGAACCCCACAGCTGTAAAGAAACAATAGCCCATTATTCTGGGCCGTGTGACTTTTTTGGACGAATAGCGTAACCCGTTGAGTTTCCTGCTGGGGCTAATTTTAGCACGCTGCTAAGCAGGAAGTATAGACTGATGATTTTTGGGTTAGCAGGAATATACATTTACAATGTATTTATAAACACTGCCAAAAAATATACGTCTTGTTGTCCCCTTGAATCTGATACCATATTTAACAATTGTTGACTGCTGTGATGTGGGATATGACATTTTGAACACCGAGGGTTATCTAAACGTCATATCCCACATCACAGCAGTCAACAATTGTTTTGTGACACCTCTGTCTTGGATTCTTTGGATTTGGATGTGAAAATCATGCAAACAAACAGCAGTAAACACAACAATCATGACAATCGAACGCCAACTCACATGCATGTCTCGTGCTCGAAACGGCTGATCGTCGGCTGGTTCGCTGCTCTCACTCATGTGTGAAAACATGGTGACAATAGCGTGGGTACCAGCGATACAAGCATTTCACACCGTACGTACAAAGTCATATGGGATATAACGTACGTGATATTCCACAGGGAGTGTGCCATGACTTTTTATAAACTTAACACGTGATCGTTCTAGGCCAATGAAAACACAGTATTCAAGACGGAGGTATAACAATTAACCCTAACTCCCTAGGCCTTTTTGTCAGGATGTAGCCTCAATCCTGCAGAATCCTCCAATTGGCCTCATGGAAAAATAGCATACCGGTACATGTAGCCTCAATCCTGCAAATTCCTCCATTATTTTTTTAATATGGTCCGCGGAGGAGTGACCACTGCCTGAATCCTGCAGAATCCTGCAAAATCCTGCGGCAGTGACTGTCAATATGTTGAGGCTTGGCCAGTGACATCCTGGAGCAGTATGGAGGATTTCAAGCATAATCCAGGCCTGTATTGATGCATGGCTGAGCAAAAACACACAAGGTCCAGCCCAAGACCTTGACAAAGTGCATCCTGCGAAATCAGTAACGCACTTTTGCCATGTAACCTCAATCCTCCAAATTCCTCCACTTTGGCAAAGAGGATTTTGAAGGATTCAGGGCAGTTAGGGTTAAGGATGTGACGCTTGCAGTTTTGAAGAACACATCAATTTTCCCATTTTTCAGCCATATTTCCACTTTCTCATGGAATTGCCCATTGTACATTTCCTGACAAGAACTTAATTGTACGTTTATTTTCTGTGCCGTCAAAAAAGATCACTCAAACTATATATTTTTTAATTTTTTTTTTTGTGCAGTCATGGGACAGAAAATGAATACCAAGTACCGGATTTAAAACCAGCAACCGAATATCAACTCAGGTGAGTACTACATGTGGCTGGAGTCTTATAAAAAGGAATCAGACTGATGGAAATAAATCCCAACAGATTCTGAAACAAAGATTACTGGCAAATATACGGCGGCAAAAAAAAGCCAGCCTTTCTTAATAACGCGCCAGTCCCCTTTTTTAAGTACACTCTGGCACATATTCCTAATTAGGCTTTTCATTATCTTGACACACTGGCCCGGTTATTCGTGGACCTTGTCAGGGGTGATACATCATCACTTAGGCGCAATTCCAAAAGAAAAAAAAAATTATCCCAGTTGTTACTTTGGAAAAAATCGTGACGCGGATGAAAATCGAGTTCGGACAGATCAACTGCAGCCTGAGAAGGGCGATATTGAGCATATGCTGGGTTTAGGCTGGTGGCTATGGATCAACCAATCAGCATCAAGCATTTTAGGTTGTTTAAGGACAGCATTACATCATTTAACAGTTCTTGACTGCTGTGATGAGGTTGTGGCCTATTTATCACCCGAAGGGGGCATAGCACCCGAGGTGAATGCACCCCTCGGGTGTTGCAAACATCATATCCCACATCACAGCAGTCAACAATTGTTTTGTTATACATGTGTATCGTGCCAATAACTCCAAAAGGTTTATATGCTTGTAACTTATTGTGTGCGAAATTTATTAAATCACAGTGCAAATGCGATGTAACTTTTGATAACTGAAGGTTTTGATGTCCTGCCTGACATGAGACTTGCAGTTCTCATTGCGCAAAGGTAGCGTACCGGCAGGTTCCACACGCCTGCGCAGTGCTGCGCATACAGTCGTGTTTTACTTTACTCTCGAGGACAATGCTTTGTGTTTCCCTTTGTCCCTGTAATATAACACTCTCCCTAGTAGACTAAGCACGCAAACTTGCTACAGAGGACCGTTTCCAACAAAAGACCCAACTCCCGAGGACTGAAAGGATCTGTTGTTCTCCCTTTGTGTGTCGGTCCTCAGGGCTTATGTAGAACACGTGCAATTAACGCAATGCGATATCACCCTCAGTGTGTGCATGACATGCATTTTTATTGTCCAGTCACGTGGCCGTCCTGGACCAATGAAATTACGGTATCCAAGCACACGATATAACAATACTAGTTATTTTTTTCTTCAATTGAATTTGAAACTGTTGCTTTTAAAAAGAAACAAATATATGAACCCGCTACAGTCTGGTATTTAAAAACATAAGCTGTCTTGCTCAGATTTGTTGGGGTACATTTTTGAAATATTTAGGTGGGTAAGGATAAAGGCTGACCTTCAAAATCTTGACGGAAATTGTGTTCGTTCTTGCCTGCCACAGTGTGTGTGCAATATTGGACAACGTCAAGGGCGCCCTCTCTCAGCCTGCCATATTTGAGAGCAGGGGCTGCCCGCCGGACGCGCCCCTCATCCCCCGGCTGAGCGGACGCACCAAGAACATGTTGAGTCTGCGATGGAACCCTCCCCTGCCCAACGGCGCCAAGATCCACAGCTACCTCCTTCAGTGCGACAAGGTAAAGGACCTTCCTTTTTTCCTTTCCGACCAACCCTATTTTGGACTCCTGAATTCATTTTTTTTTTCGGCCAAGGTTAGACTTGTGGCAGTCAGTCAATGTGTCAGTCATTCAGTCTGTCAGTGATATAGGTAATACAGGCTTGTAACTTTTCCTCGGATCCGCTGATTTCGTCATTTTTTACTTCTCATGAATTCCATTACTACATGTAATTCAGGCGATTCACAAATGCAGTATGCCACCAAGAGTTTGCCATGGAGAGTCCATTTTTCAAGTTTACTGTCGTCAAAACATGGCCCATTTGAATGAGTGTCAGTAGACAACTTGAGCTAATTTGTTATAGATCGGGGCAAATCGTTCTGCCACCTTACCCAACAAACACCATCTTGATATAATAAAAAGGAAAAGGGCGAACAAATACTCGAATTATACGCTTACGAAACCACTGACTGGAAAAATGAACAATTTCAAATGTCCCGTGGTGCGAATTTGTCGATCATCTCCCACAATGCACTGGGAAAAATTAACTCCTTGGCAAACTCTTGGTGGCACACTGCATTGTGAATTGCCCGAATTCAAAAACACTGTACAGAGTACAGACTCTAATTTGGTTTGGAGTTTCCTCATTTTGAACAGAAAAACTGGGTAATCGTTCAAAAATAAATCAGAGGAATAAAGTTCATTATTTTTTCTTGCCGTCGGACATTGCACTCTTTCAAATACATCTTCCCTTGCACACATTCATGTCATAATCGGCCAGATCATCTCGTTAACACCCTTAACCACTTCTTCCTCTCCCGCCTGCGCTTGACACCGAACGCGGGTATCTCACTGAGCGTGTCATCGTAGCAGTGCTCCCATCCCGTTTATATCGGACCTGAACTGTCAGGGAAAGGGAGAGGGGAGAAATTCCAGTCATTCCTGGTGGTCCGGGCTACCGGTCAGCTGTGAACATTCCAGGAAGCCACCGGCATACTTGTACTTGCCGATGATAGAAATTTCTGTTTCTTTTTTGTAAAGCCCAGTTAAGACGCACTTTCCAGGAACCCTTTTGACACCATTAATACCGGTACATGTACATGTGCTCGGTTTATGTGATTTAACGTTAAGCAGGTGTAATAGAACGTAAGATGTAACATCCGTTGACTTTTGCAACCGAGAGAGGGTTGATTTTAACAGTTGACAAAATGGCATTCAAACTTAACCCTAACTCCTACTTAATTTTACCAAGTACTGGACCAAGTCCGCCAAAATCCATCAATCGCACTGCTTCCAATGCATGCCTTGCTTCAGACCTTCAGGCCCAAGTCCATCATACTCCATCAATATTTAGTCAAACCAGGCCTGCAGGACCAAGCCCCCAAAATCCAAAAAAAATAGGGGGGAGGGGGAAGGATTTTGATGGAGTTGGCGAGGTTAGGTTTAATACGTGTAAGTGGGGGTACCTTTTTTGGGACTTGAGTGGAAGAGTTCGTAGCAGGGGCTTGCGACACCGTCGGGGTCTTTGTCGACTGGTGTTACTGACAAAGACACCGAGACAGTGTCTCAAGCTCCTGCTTTGAAAAGTCTTTGAGATGAAGAGCTCAAGTCTCCGAAAAAAATTAGGTACCTTTCCATCGATCTGATCCAATAACGGGACTGGAAACGAACTTTCCTGCTCGGTGTTTGTACTGTTTTTGAAACAAGTTTTGAGTGTTTTTCCATTGCTAAAAAGGCTGCCAGTATTTTGTCGTTGATCATTAAGTCCTTTGCAAACAGTCCCTACCTGCTCCCAACCTCTGATTAGAGATATTTTGACGACAACAAGTTCCGGTTCTACTCTTTGCCTGGAAGAGAGGTTTGTTTTCGTGCTTTGCCACAGCTCTGGAAAACAATATTAGGGTGTTTTGGCTATTCAGTAATGAAGCTGATTGTGAACATATCCGAGCAACTCCCACACAAATTATATCGTGACATTTGCTTGTTGCGGGGGATGATCTTTTCCTTTATGTTCATGTAGCGATATTTCATATTTTCCCCAATTCTATGACATTTTGGGTACAGTCTCGTGCAGAGTCCAGATAATTGGCCTATTGCTGCGTCCAAATATCATTATGAACTGAATGAAAACGATTAACTGCTTTTTCTTTTTCTTTTTTAACAATTACTACATAAGAGTAAACAGCTGGAAAAAAGAGGAGCAAATGAGGAGAAAGTTTCCATGAAAAGGAATTTATCTCTCCAGAATTATAGAACCATCTTTGTATTTTAATGATTTAATTTTTTTTAATTATATGTTTCTTTATATTATTTAATTGTTAAACAAGAATATGGCCAAGGCATTTTTGTTAATATATTAAAATTGAATAACCAAAATGAAAGAAATGATACTTTAAATGGCAAAAATGGTGAGATGTGAAATAGTCCAGCTTCTTCCTCTTTCAAAATGAGCAAAATAAAAGCATACAATAAAAGGGGAAACAGAAGTGATTGTGGTTAAACTTTCACTAGTCAAAGTGTCGTACAAGTAAAAACAAAATTGGATTTGGCCAAAAAAAAAAAATAAGAGAAAAATTATTTCATTGTACATGTTCTTTTTGTATCACATCCTCATAATTTCCATATTACACAAAGAACTCTTGCCCAGCTTAAGAAATCTATAAATTTGAAGGTGTGTTTTATTTGATCGTTCAGGGGACTGGCTCAGGCAGTTTCGTGGACGTCTACGAGGGTCCGGACAAGACGTTCAAAGTCACCAAGCTGCAGCCCTCCACGCTGTACAGGTTCCGCTTGCAGGCCATCAACGACTACGGGGCCAGGTGAGAATTGGCAACTAGCTTGTAGTACACATCATCGTGATGTTAATATTGGGGACAATTTGTCCGTGGTCTTTATATGTGCAAAGTTTGAAGTCTTTCTGATTTAAGATAATGTCAAATTTGGCATCATGAAAAGTCGAACCATGATGTCATCATGACATCACTTTGGACATTGCATACTGGCGTTGTATTCTATACATCATCATGATGTCAATATTGGGAAACATTTCATGGTCTTTATATGTGCAAAGTTTCAAGTCTATCTGATTTTAGATAATGTCATATGTGGCATCCATGAAAAGTCGAACCATGATGCCATCATGACATCTCTTTGGACATTGCATACTGGCGTTGTATTCTATGCATCATCATGATGTCAAAATTGGGAAACATTTTCCATGGTCCTTGTATGTGCAAAGTTTCAAGTCTTATCTGATGTACAGGCATGTAACTTTTCCTCCGGTGATTTATTTCTGGCAGTGGCTGCAATATGCGCCGCAGCACCTTGTAAACCCTTATAAGGTGCTACATAACGGGTCTCATATTTCTCATAAAACTTCATTTACCTCCTACCAATATACATAATTTCCAGCGCCTTGAGTACCTAATTGTTGGTAGATACGTGCGCTAAATAAGACTCGGGTACTATTATTATTATTATTATTATCACTTTGGGCTTGGCACGCTAGCGTCATATTCTATGCACCCACCAAGTTTCATGACAAAACCAAAAAGCCAAAAACGTAAATACACAAAACTTGAAGCAATCTCAGTAAGTGATCATATAGGCCAAAGCTAGGAAGCTCAAATTCCACTCCAAATTCTTACAGTATGTTTCACATTCAGAGCAGACATTGCTTTGGCTAATGTTGCATGCGATGTCTCTTCCTGTAATGGATTGGAAGCCGTCATGTTTTTTTTCCCCCTGTCCTTTCCTGCGTAAAATTACTCAGCTTCCATGTGCCCAGGCATCAGTAAGAAAATTCCAGTTCTGTTAGGAAGAGGACCATTAAGAAAATTCCTTTTTTTAGACATCAAAATATAAAAAGAAAACCATCATGTCGACATGCTGAAAAAAACCCTCTTCGCGGCATGAGATTGTCTTTGACTGTCTTTTTACCCTAACCGCGCCTAAAGCTACTAAATACATGTACTTCTACTGGTAAACTGTGGTATGAACTACTTCAGTATATAAGTGTGCACAACAGTCATAGTATTCTTTAGTACCGAGTTCTTTGTCCCAAAGTAATGGTCAGGACGTTAGGCCAAAAAAAAAAAAGTCTCCGGTTTCTGGTATGGAGCTTGCCCAAAAAGTGGTGGGGCGACGCGGCTTTTTTTTTTTTTTTACCTGATTTTTTTTGTCTCAAATGTTGGCTGATGACTGCAAATGGTGACCGACTAAACTTAGTGCAAATATATGGGAGTCCAGAGAGGCCACATAAAGCTTATTCGCGATCATAACCCCATCCAAAAATACGTTAAAATTGTGCAGCAGCAGGATTCCAGTCAAACCAGTGAGTTTGGCGGTTTTGAGACATCATCTTTCATTGAAAAAAAAACTTGTTCAGTTTGCCGACGCGCATGGCTACGGCGACATGCGCGCATACCAGAAACCGGAGACTTTTTTTTTTTGGCCTTAGGGTTAAAGGTAATATACAACATTTGCAAACATCAAAAAATAAAATTACCAAATTATTTTGAAAAACCTTACTTGGCTGTAAGTGGATAATAGTCTCAAGCATCCTGTGAAATCATGGCACCTGGTGTGCTGTCATATTCAAGAAAAGTGGAATTTTTGTATCAATTTCCAATGATGGTTAGCCAACCATTGTTGGAAAACATGACTTTTTTTTAATACTGCCCTCAGTTTACCAAATTTAGTAAGTCCACATTTTGTGGGCAATTGGTTACACATCCGTGAACGGGTGCCAGCCAGATAGTCTCCGTTTCGTCTGGAGTAGGGTCAAGGAACCAGGCTACAAGAACAACATTTTTTTCTTATATTAGTAGGCCTGACCCTTCTGAGGTTGAACCCTAGCCACTTACGGTGAAAAACAGGTACGCAACCGTGATCGTAACCACTTTTTTTTTTCCCGTTTCGTACAGCGACTTCAGTCCCGAGGTCAGTTACTACTCGTCGGGCAGCGCCCCCAACCAGCCCGAGCCGGCCACGCTGAGGGAGGCCACCGCCCACAGCTTGCACCTGGAGTGGGAGAAGAGTACCGGGGAGATCCATGGGTATATATTGGAGATGGAGGACGAGATGAAGGTGGGTTACCAGTGAAAAACAAACAAAAACAAAAACAAAAACAAAACCCCTAAAAAAATGTATAATGCTTTGTATGGTTCCAACCTATTATGTATTTCACTGTGAATTTGAAAATCGATAATTGGAGTGACTTTGTCAATAAGCCATTTGCGAGTTAACTTTGAATAAAATCTGGAACGCTGACTTAATCCAATGCTTTGCACGTTTCAACTTTGCATTCTCCAGACCAAAGAGACTGTTACTATATCACGTGATTCGGGGCAAGCCTTATGCTAGCAACCCCCAGCTCCGGCATGGTCTGGTGTCTTTGTGCCATTCTCACCCATTGTGAACAATGTATTGGTGCTGAGCGTCTCTTACGTAACTATGCAAGAGCTTGCCCCGAATCATGTGATTAGCAACAGTGTCTTTGGTCTGGAGAATTCAAAGTTAAAATGTGCCAAGCATTCTGAGCAAGTTGGTGTACCAGATGTTTTTCAAATTTAAATCTCAAAGGGTATAGGTCACTCGCAGATGGCTTATTGGTGTAAATGGCTACAAGGTTACGTCCGAATTCCTTGGCTTACGGCTTGGAGTTTACACCCATGTAGCCACACACATGTAGCCACACCCATGTAGCCACACATGTAGCCACACACATGTAGCCACACACATGTAGCCGTAGCCACTTCCCATAGACCAGTGTGTTATTTCCAAGCCATAGCGATAGCCAAGTCGAACGTGGCATAAAATTTTGTTTCAAACTATTTCTCCTTGGTATGCTTTTTTTACTTTTTGAAATTTGTAATTTTTTTATTTATTTATTTATTTATTTTGCAGAGGTATGGCTTCCAGATTGTATATCGAGGAGAGGAGACGAATCACCAATGCAAAAACCTTGCCAGGAATTCAGAGTTTAAATTCAGGGTAAGCGATATCGCTAAGCAGGAGATAACTGTCTATCAAATTTAACGAGCTATTTAAGCAAAAAAATCAGGAAGCACGTTGTCACAAGCAGTAGGCGGCTATCCAACCTGGACAGAACTGAACGCACTCTGCACCCCATGGCGTCGTGGGCCAAGTTTGGCCTGTTGCCATGCATCCAGACGAAGATGAAGTACACGTTGCACAGTGTTGGGCCCGGTAGGCTGTGTAAGCGCTTAGCAGATATTCCATGTGCTCTTAGCAACTTCTTGAACTCCGAAGTTTACGAGTCCATTTACTAGTCCAGTCACAAGAAACGGTGGATGAACAGTGACAAAGGAATGCCTTTGTCAAAGCTCATTTGAATAGCTTGGGAGTTAAATGGGGACTGGAGGACTTGGGATGGACTTGCGATAGACTGGACTACGTCCGTGGACTGTTAAGCCCTTTTCACACTAGAGCCTCTCAACCTGGGTTAAACTCAACCCTAGGCGAACCCAGTGCCGGCCCGGGTTGAGTTGTTGATCGTTTCACACTTGTTTCATGCAAATCAAACTTATCATGCTCAGTTACTACTGTTTTGAACCCTGGCAAGAATTTCAACCCGGGTTGAAAATCTCAACCCTGGTCTGGAGCAGGGTTGAGTTCAACCCGGGGCGAAATCAATCTCTGGGTTGACGCAGGGTTGACGCAGGGTTGAAATTCTTCAAGTGTGAAACGATGCATGTTTTCAACCCTGTGTCAACCCTGCGTCAACCCCGAGATTTGTCTAGTGTGAAAAGGGCTTTAGAGGCAACATTTACCACCATAGTGGCATTAGGAAGTGCCCACTGCCAGTCAAGGTAGAGGGAATGCTACATGTACCTGGATGAGTTAGAGTCAACCAATGTTTCCTTATTTTTGTTTGCAGTTATGTGCCTTTAATGAAGAGGGAAACAGTCGATTGAGTGGAGTGGTGGCCTTCCGTACTCTGCCTGATACGCCGCGAGCGCCTTGCAAACTATCACTCAAGGGCAAAGTGCACTCCACAGGCTTCAAAGTCTCATGGGGTAAGCTACTCCGAACTCCCCCACCCCCTTCTACCCCCATCCCCCACCCCAATTCCCACACCCCTGCCCCCAAATCCCACCCCTATCCTACCAGTAACCCCAACCCATAACCCCCCGGCCCCATCCCCACCCATAGCCCCATCCCCAACCCCACCCAAATCCCCATTCCCAACCCCACCCAAACCCCATTTCCACCCAAACCCCCACCCCCACCCTTGGGTCAATTTCCTTAGCACTTGGGCAAAAGCAACACCAGACCAAGCAAAACCAGTTTGACTATAAAAAAAAGCTTTTTTTTATTAAACAGGAATATCTGACATCTCTTCGGTTCATACTTCAATTTTTCCCAAAGAATAGCAAAAGTCTTAAATAACATGATTTGTTTGTCCGACAAAATTAGAGGTTTTCAACTTCAGGTTTTGTGATATATATATTTTAACCTCATGCAGATCCACCGAAAGATGCTGGGGGATCAGACGTTACATCGTATTGTTTAGAAATGAGCAGCGGAACAAGTAAGTTAGCAGTGAGATTTGTGTGAGGTTTATAGAAACTTTATACAACAGTGAAACAGTGAGGTTTGTGTGTAGTTTTGAGGTTTTGCGTTTGGTGCTAGTCGATTTTTTCAGCAGGTATGCCATTGGTATCGGTAATAATGGCTTGGAAATTTTTTTTTTAACCTCAAGAATGAAAAAATGATATTGTTGGTGCTTGGGTAGTGATGCGAGGTTCGTAACCATGAGGTTTCAGATGAGATTTTATTTATAATAGTGAGGTTCTGTATTACGTGCATCCTCAGATAAACCATTTGTGTCAGTCTTTGAGGGCCTGGAGAGAAGTTCACTCTCAAACATGTGCCATTAAAAGTGTTAGATTTGGTAAAGATGTGGGGGTTAATAGACTCATAGTTGTGAGGTTTTATATAATTATGAGGTTTTTGATTATTTTCTTCCTCGGATAAATGTTTTTCTTTAGTTCACACTAACTTGTTGAGGTAGTTCAACCTCAGGTTAATAAAGTCAGTTTCGGTAAACATGTGAGGTTTTATATGTTACCCTGTGGTTTTACATGTAACCATGAGGTTTTACATGTTCATGTTTTATATGCTATGGTGAGGTTCTATATTACTTCCCTTCTGATATGAACGATTTGTCTAGCATCAAAATAACTTCAAGAGGTAGTTTAACCTCAAGTTAAAAAAATCAGTGTTGGTAAATGTGTGAGGTTTTGTAAACTTGAGGTTTTATATGAGGTTTTATAGGCAGTAGTGAGGTTCTGTATTACTTTCCTCCTCAGATGAACCCATTTGTCTTGTTCACAATAAAACTTGGAGAGGCAGTTCAACCTCAAGCTAAGAGAGTCAGTGTTGGTAAACCATGAGGTTTTATATGTAATTGTGAGGTTCTGTATTACTTCCCTCCTCAGATGAACCGTTTGTGTTGTTCACAATAAAACTTGGAGAGGCAGTTCAACCTCAAGTTAAGAGAGTCAGTGTTGGTAAACCATGAGGTTTTATATGTAATTGTTAGGTTCTGTATTACTTCCCTCCTCAGATGAACCGTTTGTGTCGGTCTACGAGGGCTTAGAGAGGGAGTTCAACCAAGACAGCCTCGAGCCAGGCCACACGTACAGACTGAGGGTCCAGTGCTCGAGTAGAGGGGGCGACAGTCCGGTAAGATATTGAAATATGGAAGATCTGCCTATCTGCACTTGTACATGTTCTACGTTATACTACATTGTCTTCTGCATATTGTTTCTAAGACATACCTTTTCATCATACAATTGGTATGTTCTCTCGTTTCACTTCCACTAAAATCTCAGGACATCTGTTTCAAAAGATGCATCATTGTAGTATGTCCAGACACAGCAGACATGTTCCACAAAAGAATAATGTATCTTTTTAAAGACGCCCTTTACTTGGCAAATGTATCAAAATAATAAGTTTTTATTAAAAATAATAAGTTGAAAGAATGTTTTTTTTTATGGATTTCTAAAGTAGAAATTAAAAACAGTTTGAATGAAAATGATTTGATACATTGTTCTCCAAGTTAGGACAGATTAAAGCTGCACATGTATCTCCCCCCCCCCCCAGTTAGATAAGATAATTTTATAAACTAACCTTGAACTAGGGAAGCCGAAGGGGTAGAAAAGTGAAGGGGAGACGTACATGTTGCACGGGAAGTGACGATGACTCGCTCTGAATAATGTACGTCTCAGCAGCGTTCAGAAGCGAATCTTGTTGTTGACTCCACAGAAGCATATCTTGTCCTTTTTTTTGGCTGGCTGACGGCCAGAAGCGGGGAAACTAACACAGCCCCTTGCAAGGTCACGACGATCAATCATTTTGCTTTCCCCACAAAAGATAAAAAACAAATAGAAGAAGAACCCCCTCTGAACACATTAAAGAATGCCTTCAAAAACAACTCCAGCTGTTCGGCTCATCCCGCTAATTTCGCGAAAGTTTGACTACCTTTCGGAAGAAGTGGGTTCCTTCACTTAATGTTCGTATGTAACAAGACTAGACATTCTTTTCAACCTGGACCTTCTTTGGGGAGAAGTGCTACACGACATGCTTGCATGCCTGTAGGCTTTTACTTTGCCGTTTAGTAGAACTCGTCTATGATTTTTTTATGAAGGGAAAAGTGGACAAAGTTGTCACTTAGTTTTTAGTGTTGTGCCCGTTTTGGCCATTAATCCTAACTCCAAACAATTAGATTGTACAGTGACGTATGTGAATTTAAAGGTAATATGCAACGTTTGTAAACATCAAAAAACAAAACTACCAAATTATTATGAAATACCTTACCTGACTGTAAGCCAATAATAGTCTCAAGCATCCTGTGAAATCATGGCATGCTAATGTGCTGTCATTTTCAAGAAAAGGGGAATTTATGTATCAATTTCCAACAATGGTCGTACGACAATTGTTGGGAAAAAAACAGACTGTTTTCAAATACTGCCCCCAATTTACCACATTTAGTTAGTTCACATTTGTTTGCAATCGATTACACATCTGGTAATGGGTGCAAGCCACTAGTCTGGTTCCCTGACCTGACAATTCCGCAACGTTTATAAATGGCTACGGTTAGTCTAAAGTAGAGTCACGGCACCCGACTACAATAACTACATTTTTTCCTTGGTTTTCCCAGAATCAATGAACACAAAACTTTAAAGCATAGGTATAATCTGTTCCATGACGTCAACAAGAAGTGAAGTGTAGCTTCCAATTAATGTCACGGATATCACAGTGTCACATTGTCACAGGATGTAACAGTTAGAGGATAGTACAGTGACATCTGTGACATTCATTTTAAAGCTTTGGAAACTTTAACCGTAACGCTGACTTACTGCACAGTTTTATATTCATCTTTTTTTTGTATCTGGTCGCAGTTTTCCGATATCTGTAGTGTCACAACGTTGCCAGTTTGTCCAGGGCAGTGCCTACCACCGAGGTTACATGGCAAGCCGAGGGCGACGTCCGTCAACCTTAGATGGAGTAAGTCATTCGCAATTCGCTGACATAACTTGTCATAACTTAACGATTGTTTAATGTTTTTAAGGTGTTTACACCAGAAGATTGTGTGTTACAGTATTTAAAGCCGGCCTCAGGTCGACCCGCGATTTGCTTGCGCCACGACGGAACCGGTGGCATCAAGCAGAAAAATAATGCTCAGGTCACAAAACTGAAAAATCACGTGATGGTCGCTGAACATGTCGCAGAAGTTGAATTTTGTCTACTCTTGCGACTGTTGATTTTTTTGAGTGCCGACTGACGCCGATCGGTTTAATAACATCGCAGTTACACTCAGGTTGCACAAGGTCGGCGACTGAGTTGTTCCCGACGGTCGTAGCTCAGATGCAGCTTGATCCTGAAAAGTCAGTCGCCGACTGATCTGTGTCCTCGCAAGGTCGACCTGAAGCCGGCTTTAAGCTGAAAGTGCCGCGCATCCCCAGTAGTAATACCCACCCCTAAAGTCCGATCAGTATTAATTACTCTGCCTCCCTCTATTGATCCCAACCCTCCAGGTTCGCCAGAGTACCACGGGGGCACTACCTTGCAGGAGTACGCGCTAGAGATGTCCGCCGCAGCTGACGACACACCAAAGGAGGTCCACCGGGCGGGCACGTCCATCACGGAGTGCACCGTCAACGCCCTGCTGCCGGGCAGGCCGTACAACTTCCGGCTACGCGCCTTCAATAGAATCGGGGTGAGCAATTGCAAGGGATTAACTGTACGTTGGATACCCACTCAATACGGGTCAAAATCACTTGCATAAGATGAAACTTTGATTCTAAGTAATGCAAATTTGATTAAGATGACGCAAATTACAACTAGTGAAACGTTGGTTGCAGTTCCCTCTGGTATATCAGATTCCAACAAGCCAGCCGACACCGGCAAGCTCGGTGGTGGAGTGGTAAGACATCTTCACTTGTAAGGGAAAATCTTGAAAATGAGTTTCCATTTTTCCAGTCAGGAAAAACTTAAGGAATTTGGGAAAAACACCAAAAATCAAGGAATTTGATAGCCCAGAAGGGAAACGTCGTCCCAAGTTTGGCGTATGTGCGTCTTGCGCCATGTGTCCAAGTTGCGTCCATTGACTGACTGACTATGGTGGTTTTTTAGTGTTTATGCAGTGTGAATATTACACACCTCTCCAGACAATACCAATTGGCTGTGCTACGCCACATCTTGAGTTCACAGCAACCTCGTTAAACTGAATATATTTCTCATGGAAGTTTGGAAATTTCTCAAAGAAATTATCAGGGAATTCAGTTTTCTTACAGTGCTGAGAAACCTGTTCTTGAAGTGTTGGAGACTTGGAGCGTTAATAGTTCAAGTTTGTGTTTGTGTTATTTTCTCTTCCGTAGGGCGGCCCCTTGTCAGAACCTCTCCACGTGATGACAGCAGCGGGCCCACCAGACAGCCCCACGGACCTGGCCGTCAGCAGCCGGTCCACCAGCAGCGTGGCCTACGTCTCGTGGTGCAAGCCCTGCTGCAATGGGGCCGAGGTGCACGAGTACCGGCTGGAGCGGGCCTCGGAAAACGGCTCCTTCTCAACGGTGAGTGCTTTGGCGGCATATGGATCTCTTTGAAGAGCTTGTGAATTGACTAAGGACTGGATGTCTTGCGATTGACTTGCGATGGTCTTGTGCTGTCTTGTGATCGAAAATTACATGTGAATTCCCATTTTTAACTGCGATATTTCATTTCTTCGCCTTCAGGTCTATAACGGTTTCGCCCCCTCCTGCGAGCTCAAATTCCTCCAGCCGGCCACCTTCTACTACCTTCGCGTCCAGGCCATCAACTCGGCCGGCCCCGGTCCCTTCAGCGACGTGGCCACCTACGAGTCGCCCCCGTCCTCCCCCGAGGCCGTGGCCTCGCTCCGCCTCCTCTCCTCCACCTCGGAGTCCTTGCTGATCCGGTGGACCGAGCCCAACTGCTGCGGCTCGGAGATCCTGTCCTACAACATCGACATCGGGGAGAAGCCCGTCATCTCGGTGCAGGGCAACGTGACCGAGCACTGCCTGGAGATGCTGCAGCCTAACACAAAGTACAGGTAGGGACGACAATTCACCAATATGTTAAGGTCACTTGTCACAGCTGTGACTGCGCTGCAAAATGTCCTACGGAGGTTCAACATTGGCGTACTTAGACTTGATACACGCACATATAACATGTCTTGAGGCGAAGTACGTTGGAGTGTCATGGCCTAGCGGTAAAGAGCACAGTGGCGTGAGTTCGAAGCCCGGGCCCGGACACTTGTGCCCTTAAGCAAGGCACTTAACCATCATTGCTTCGTCCTTCGGTTGGGACGTAAAGCTGTAGGTCCCGTGTGTTGTGTAATGCAATGCACGTAAAGAACCCAGCAACACTTACCGCTAAGAGAAAGGGTTTGCCCCGGTGTTTCTGGCCTCCTGTTAATACTCCCCTGCGAAGTACTTAGGAGAAGAACCAACCAAGTACCAAAGTACCAACTAGACCGTGACTTGTTATAGATGAAAATTGAAGTGACGTCATGATGATGTCATCACATGTCATGTGACGTCATATTAAAGGGGCATTATTCAAAGTCCTATATCTACAGAACTTTAGGTCCTCTGGCAGTGCTCCGTGGTTAGACATGGGTCATATGGCGGCTACCTAAGGCACCTTTATGCCTTCCGTTCGACCACGTTGTAGCCATGTCCTTCGCAATTTAGCTTCTCAGCTGCGAGTAAGGATGATTAGCCCCCCAAACTATAATTAGAATGATTATATAGTACTAGTGGATGACAACTGAAAATGTTGGACAGAGTTTTAAAAAATAAACCATAAAACCTGTACACAATTGAAATCAGTGAAAATGTGTAAAGGATTTCTAATATTTTGTCATATTTTTTAAAATCCCATATTTTTTTCACCCTTAAAAGTTGAATTTTATTATAAAAGGCAAATTCAGTCAATTTCATTCCATTCAGAATCTATTAACAATCCATAACGAGAGGTTTGAATCTCATGACGCTCACTCTTTTTTTTTCACCCCAGGATACGCATCCAGGCAGTCAACAGCATCGGCGTGGGCCCCTACAGTGCCTCCCTCAAAGTCACCACCAAAGCGCTTCCCCCGGACCCGCCGCGCCTGGAGTGCGTCCTGTACAGCCACCAGAGCCTCAAGCTCAAGTGGGGGGACAGCGTTAAGTCGCCGGTGGACGTCCGGATACAGAACTACACGCTGGAGATGGAGGATAGGAAAGGAAGGTAGGAACCCCCCCACACCCTCCGCCCCCACCCCCTCCGCCCCCACCCTTCCCCTCCCCACCCACCCACCCCCTCCCCTTCCCCCACCACCACAACCCCCTCCCCCCTAATTCACTAAAACTGTAATGGAGTCTGTCAAGCACCATGGTCCATTGATTGCAGTGCCCAACTTGTGCAGTTTACATCAGTACAAACCTTAAAAGGGGAATATGGCGCTTGTGTTCTTGGGCAAGACACTTTACTTCCGTTGTCTGTCTCCTCAGTTGCCTCTCTGTGACCAGGAACAATCTATTTGTCTACCAAATGAAAAGTGAAATTGTTTTTGCAGAAGTCGTTTACTGTATTGTGTACACTGAGATAGGCTCACTTCCTAAACACGGTTCACACGCATTCCATAACGACACAATTTAACATACGTTTAACATACAGGATCACAGACAGCAATTTCTACATCTTACTTTTATCGGACATTTTCACAACTTGGTACCTGAAAGTGGTTCACTGCCTTTCAGCAGATTGTCACCACACCAGTTACAAACCACAGTTGTGGGTTTTTTCGCTTCCAAGTGCAGAATCAAGCCAATTATGAAACGGATTCACAACAGCCATAGCAAAACCACGGCGTTCACTGAGCCGTTGCAGTGCGTGCAAACCAATAACCGTGGTTGCACCAGTCACGACTACACCAGCGAATTGCTGACTTTATTCCAGAGAAGTGTCCAAGCTGAGTGAGGTCGCTCACTGACCTTGATTGACCTCTCCTTGACCTTTGACCGTTTCATTCCCAGGTACTGTGTGGTGTACTGTGGTGCTAACGTCTCCCACAAGGTGTCCAAGCTGAGTGAGGTCCCTCACTGACCTTGATTGACCTCTCCTTGACCTTTGACCTTTTCGTTCCCAGGTACTGTGTGGTGTACTGTGGTGCTAACGTCTCCCACAAGGTGTCCAAGCTGAGTGAGCAGACTTCCTATCGGTTCCGGATCTTTGCCAGCAACGACGCCGGCGACGGACCGTACTCCGAGAGTTACACATTCACAACGACCAAAGCCCCACCTCCTTGCTTAAAAAGTAAGCCAATCCAATCGCAGAGGGCAGCTAGGCATGGTTCATCTTTTGTGTGGGTGGGGAGGGGGGAGGGATTCATCAGTGAATGATTACACACTTTTGGTATTGAAAAATTTGCGGCAATTTTGACTCTTTACAGAATTTCAAAGATTACTCCAAACTTTTGCTATGCCTTAATTTTTGTGTGTACAAAATTGTAAAAAGTTTCTCACTATTGATACAGACCCCAATTTTTGTCTAGTTGTAAGACAGAATGCAAGAATGTTTTTTAGGTTTTAGGACGGGGCAAGTTTAACCCTCTGAAAAGCATCTTGCTGATTTCAGGATTTTTAAAGAATCTACATATTTTGAAATCTGAAATATTGAGGATTTACCATAAGGGTGTTTTTACCTATAAAATATATATAGAACAAACAAAATGTTAAGGGAAGCCTTTAGGCAAATATATAGACCCTATGCATTGCTCTTGGGTCCTTGGTCCCCCTCAAACCCTTTTCTGATTATTTTGTGGATTTTTCACTTTCTTCCAATCTCACCCCGATATAAATTTCAAATTTAAGGCATTTAATTCTTTTTCAGTATAACTGTGACTGGTATTTAATGTTGCTTTTAAATGTCATGGAAGTTTTTGTAGTCAAGTCCTTTTTATTCTGTTCTGTTGTTTCAGCTCCCAAGGTCAGCCTGATCAGCGAAGACTGCTGCGTAGTCGAGTGGCAGGCACTAGGTAACATCCAGAATGACGTCGTCATCTACCAGTGCCAGTGCCAGAGAGTCAGGGACAGCGAGATCAAATTGGTGAGTACCCGACCCTGGCAACTCTAGGGGTGCAGGTACAGGCTAAATTTTGGAGCAACCTCATTGGCCAGTTTGTCTCCTAACCTAGGCACCAGGGATGTGTTCCAGTCTTGCAAATGTGTGTGCGTTCGCTAGCTTGGCCTTGCCAACCCCAAATGTGAAGTTGTTTTCATTTTATTTATACATTACTGGCAAATTGTTACTTCTGGTCCCAATTGAAAACTGCTCTCCAAGCAGTGACTCTTGTCGCCACCTTTTTTGACAATGTTTTCAGCGACATTAATATTTGTGCTAACAATCATGGATGTGGGAAAAAAACACAAGGTCTTTACTGGGTTTGCACATGTTTCAACTGAAGAAATGAGTCATAGTACCAAGTGTTTTTTTTTCAAACAGTAAGGTACCAGATTTTCATTGAATGATCTGATTCTGTGAGTTTTGGTTGTTTTACGAGAATAAAATGCGGGGTACCAGTTCACACATTCTGATCTCCCCATTCTAACTACCAGGTGTACCGAGGTCCAGGCAGCAGTGTCATCGTCCCCGACCTGTCGCCAGGCACCGAGTACCGCGTCCGGACCTGCGCCGTCCGTCTCCCCGAGGACGGTGGTCCCGAGCTGGTGGGCACCTACAGCCCCTGGGAGAGCTTCCAAACGGCCAGCCTGGTCCCCGTGGCCCCCGTCATCGCCGAAGACCCCCAGAAAGAGGAGCCCCTCTCAGCCGAGCCCAAAGCCCTGGAGGACCAGAAGCTGGTGGCCATCTTCCTCGCCGTGTTCTTCTTTATCGCGGTCATCTTCGCTTGGATCGTTGCCTTTTACAACTAAATTAATTTATGATGAAAAAAAAAAAAAATTAGAAGCTTTAAGGGGTTATCTCAATAAATATCCGGGAGAAGTTGTGGACAAGTTTAGGAGAGAATGTGAAATTAAACAGGCAGTAACTTGAGGTTTACCACGAGGTTTACCTCAAAATTTACCGCGAGATTTACCTCAAAGTTTACCGCGAGATTTACCTCAAAGTTTACCGCGAGATTTACCTCAAAGTTTACCGTGAGATTTACCTCGCTGTTTACCACGAGGTTTACCTCAAGGTTTACCATGGGGTTTACCTCAAGGTTTACCCCGAGATTTACCCGAGGTTTACCTTGAGGTTTGCAAGGTTTACCTAGAGGTTTGCAAGGTTTACCTAAAAGTATAACGATGAATGTTTGACCATCGTTTGACTAGAGACAATCACACATTGTTATTAGTGTGCAGGTCAACGATACATGGCAAAGTAACCGCTAGTCGACTAATGGTCCTCGATTGAAACTGTTCATTGCTGACAAATTCATCACGGGAAGATGTCAGAGAAGTTGTTCAGAATCCTGCAACAAATTCCCGATACAATGGGTCTGTTGCAGATAAACTTTTCCCACAACTTATCCCGGAAATATTTAACGAGATGATTGCTAAGGATTGGTTCATGCTTCACGGTAAAGTAAAAAAATCAAAAACTAAAAATGTAACGCCGTGAAACACAAATTCTTCTCGGCGTTGAAATGTGTTCAACTTTTGGCAAAGTTACTTGTGAATACTTTGCCATGACGTCACAAATATATACATTCACGTTGTGAGCTCGCTTTCACTTGAGCATGAACGGCCTTTTATTCCGAATCTTTTTGAAAGAACAAAAAATGAAATTCCATTGTAAGCAGATTTTTTTAACAAATCTGGACTTGTAAAGAGCCGCAGCTTTTTTCCCCCGTAGGCGGTCCTTTGTAAAAGGGAAAAATCGGCATTCTGTATTCTCCAGGAGGATAAAAGTGGCTAGAACTGCCAACTGCCGGGGAATTTATTTATTGTAAGGCTCAAGTTTTAAAACGGCAAAACCTCTTGCGTCTGGTTGTGTTAAAAATGGCAGGCCATTACCCTCGTGAGATCAAGTCAGCATGCATGAACAATTCCAGTTTTTTTTGTGGGAACTGTTGACGAGCAAATTTGTTTTCTATCCGCTGTGCTCACCATTTGCAGAAAGTCGCTTTCCCAATGCATAACGATCCCGTAATTTATTGAAGTTTTTGTCTATTTGTGCGAATCCAACTGCCAGAAACTTTCTGGATTCCTGCCTGTGAAAAAGGAGGAGCGTGGATGGCACTCTGCCACTAGAGGGCGCTATTGTTCATAACGCAAACATCGCGAAAAATCCTTGCACACAAAAAATATCGTGGCCCCATCTCCCTCAGTTACACTGCCCGACTGCGGCTGAGATTCAAGAACATCAGATCAGGAACAATTTGAAAACTTTCACCTCTTTTGTTTTTCCTGTAAGTGAATTGTTTATTTGGTTTTCATTTCGCAAATTTTGATCTCCATTTTGAAGTTTACTTCTTCTTCCAACGTTCATTTTGATTAATTTTTTTGTGATGGTTTGCAAGAATATCCCCCAGACAACAAAACTATTGTAAGGATTTTTGTCGATATTTCTTCCTAGTTTGGGATTTGTAGGAACGTCTTCACCTTGATTATTAATTTTCCGTCAATTTTTTTTTTTTAAGAAACAAGTTTTCCAGACAGTTGGCCAATTCGCTCGTAGAAAAAATAAATATCAAAACATTTGAAATTATTGATGAATTCAGCTATGCGAGGTTTTTTTCTTTTGATTTTTTGGCATGCAGCCAAGTTTTCTCAACTTTGTCAATTACCAAGCCATTCAATTAATTTCTTGTTTAAATGGGTTTGGGAAACAATTTTCTTTTTACGAGTGGCCTTAGAAAGTTTTGGTGAACGAAATTTGGGAAGTTGTATTAAACATGGGTGTGAACAAGCTATTGCCCACTGTACATTATTAAGTAGAAATCACTAACTTTATCGCTTGCCTTGACTTAAAGGAACACTCTCATGATATCCAGAAAAATAGTCATGTTTTCTGAAAGTTCCAAAATTTTTCAAAATTCCGAAACTCGGCAAGGATGGTCCTAATTAAAGCAACAAACTGATATCAATTAAAAAAGTGTCAGCTACATATGCACGTTGAACATTCTGTCCAGTTTTGGGGTTTTTTGGTCATGAGGTTGTCCCTTTAAGTTCACTGTAGCAAAAGAGATTTTTTTTTTTTAAACCTAGGGACTGTTTAGTTCAAACTCATGTAATGTAAAATAAAAAAAAAGTTAATATAGTTGCATTTTATTTTTGGACGAATAGATATTCTGTATATGATCTCAATTCTTATATTTTTTGGCATTTTGTTTTTTCATTTACCAATTGTTTACAAGTTATCGTCGTTTCCCCGTTTGTATTTAATGAATGTTTACCAGTCGCTTGGAATTAGTTTGTGGAACGAGAACGCAAAATTTTTAGTCATTTTTTTCTTGTTGGAATTGCTTGTAGATTGTAGAACGATGGTATACATTAGCAGTGTTTAGGTACTAATTTATGCTTGTTTTTAATTTTTTTTTTTCCATTTCTTCAAACATATTTTGATTTTTTTCCCCTGTAATATGCTTACATACCAGATTGTGGCAAATACACATCCAAAATTCTTCCCAGAAAATACTCCTTTCCACAGTTTTCTTTGCATTTTTTGGATTGTTTTCAAAACATAGTTTTTAGCGCCCCCTCCCACACCCACAATTAAAAATGTACTGATGATTAGTTTTAAATTGCTAAACGCCACTGCCAACTCAATGTGCCATGCAAAAAAAAAACCTGTTGTTTTTGCAAAGTATTCCCATTTCCTGTGTGATTTTTATTTATAACTTTATTAAACTTGTTGGGAGGAAAAGCGGAATTACTTTGCAGAGACGATGATTCGGGGTGCCTATTTTTATCCCCAAACTCGCCAAAACAGAAAGCAGTAATCAAAAAACAACACCGACCTACTTCACAAGAAAGGGCCAAAATTCTCCCTTGGAAAAGTTTTTCAGGGGACGACTACCAGTTGAGCTCATGATAGATTGTGCGATTTTTTGGTTGGTAATCAGTAACCATGATTTGACAACAGTGTAATGAAATCACTGTCTAGTTTGTGCTAAAGTGGCGTCGTGACTTTGGGCCAAGTTGGGAAGTTGAGAAGGTTATTCAAACAAACAAACAAACAAACAAACAAACAAACAATGAAATTGAATTGTAATCTGTATTATTGTACATACATCTTTACATAATCTCTAGCGTAAGTTCAATTGAATGTTGACTTAAAAACATATATTTACCTTAAATTTCTGGACACGGACATTCAGAAGTATATTTTTTTGAAAAGAAAAAAAACTTAAAGAGTATTAAGTTTAAATCTGTATGTGCTAGTATTATATTTCAATGGTAAACAAAAATTGTACAAAGAATTTAAGGGTAAGGCTTAAAACAAATAGCAGAAATAGATTAAAAGGAAACAAAAACAGCTCTTGAATAAATGAATATTAAGTAGCTGCCACTGTGTATTTAATAGATCAGCCAAATTTACAAAAAAAAAATATTACTGTTCTTGCTAAAATATGTTTAAAGTACTTTGATGTATGCCTAGAAAAGAAATGTATGTGTGTTGTCGACACAAACAATTTTTTTTTGTGGTGTGGCCTACTAGACTTAATTAATGTATTCCATTTTGGAGGGTAGTTTATCAACGGTTGCCTGGACGTTGCAGTTAACAAAGGAACGGAAAAGTAAAATTGAACAAAATTGCAGTCACAGATTTTTTTGGACGGAATAAAAGCGCAAGTTTCGGCTTTTGTGTTGACTGGAACCAGCACACATTCAGTTTACTTTTTGTGGATGTAAGCACCCCTATTCATCCAGTTGGAAGACTCCAGCTGCTGTGTTTATCAGTATGGACTGTAAAGTCTACCATTATGAAACAGGGGTGTAAATGTATTCCTTCTCGGACCCTCATCCATCCACAAAATGCCGTGTATACTTAACTTTACACAAAAATGCATATTTTTCTAAACAACGATTGCTGTTTTAAGGTAAACAAAAGTAGAACAAACTTACTCCTGCTACATCGCAGAAATGAAATTATGCTGCATTTCAACAAAAACAACTCCAAATTCAAAAAGGATTTTTGTGACAAAAAGTAGAAGCCATGGCCCGACTGCGTACAAAAGTTAACATTCCTGCGTGTTCTTTCCAAATCGTGTTCAATTTGTATTAAACAAAACAAAAAACAACAAGAAGAGGGAATAATTAAGTGTTTATTGTGCCAGTGTTAAATCGGTTAGTTTAGAAAAATGACAAAAGATTTAAAGTTTAAGGATTTTCTTTCCAATGTTTGGTGAAAAATTTAGAGCGTAGATGGACCAAAAAAGTCCCCACATGTTCTTCTCCACTCCACCCTTCAGTATTCCTGTATATTTCAGATTTTGTTCGGACTATTAAAGTTTTTTTCTTTTTTCGTTTCAAAAAGTGTAAGCATAGTATCATAAGGTCGTAGTATTAAAACGAGAAGAATCCTTTAAATTTTATTTTACTTGCTGAAACAATTAAAAATATTTATAGATGTGTATATGTATATGTTTTAATTCAGAATGTTGACAGGTTTTATCGGCTACGTTCTCTGAGGGTTGATTTCGGTGAAAGTGAAATTCGCCCTTTTTGGGGGGGGGGGGTGTTCTGACTTTGCTTTATAAAAAAATGTTGCCTTTGATTCGGTGAATATATACAAGATTATTTTTCATCTGCTTATTTTTTAGTCTATTTTGCCCTTCTTTTTGGTGTGGGAGGTTCTGTTTGTTTGAAAATTACAAAAAAATATTTCGAAAGTTACATTCATTTAGCGTTCACCTACCTCGCAAAGTGTCAAAATGGAATGGTCTTAATTCACAATGGCCATTACTTGATGGTTGTCAATCCGTAAACTTGGCACTTTTTTTTTCTTCTTTTAGATAGATCTGGTGACCCCTCCCCCCACCCCCAAAAAATTCCCTTCGTTTTGGGTTCATTTTGTTCCATCAGCAATAGATAGATTCTGTGTGTAGGACCAAACCATTAATATGGGTGGAACAATATAAATGTATTAATTAATTAAAAATAACCAAATAACGATGTGGTTTGCTGTAGTATTTCGGGGGGGGGGGGGGGGGGGGTGAGGGAGGTTTTCTTGATTAACGTTTGCGTGGGAAAATTATATTTTTAAATTCTTCCTTTTTTGGGGGGTTTAAAAAAGGATGACATCGACAAAAAACTAAACGATTTTAGGAACTTATTTAAATAGAATATTTAAAAGATAAATGTAATATTTGGGGAAATGTGCCTGCTGCCAGATGAAGGGAAAGAAATCCAAAATATTCTTGTGCGAATTGTAACAAAATTGAATGAATTCAGTAAAATGACGATATTTTTTTTGTGCAGCACATAGAAGCAGCATTTAATATAATAAAATAATATATTGATATTGAATAAATGTAAAATTGAATAAATGTTACTGAAAGCTGCTGCAATTTTGTGTTGGGGAAAGTTTCCGAGAATTTTTTTACAGAATTTGTTCGCTTGCACAAAAGACATCTGAATTTCAGGTTTTTAACCTGTCCATATCAGCTAGAGAATGGAGTCAGCCATTTTGAAAAAAGGCCAATAAATTTTTCCTTTCTAAGGAAAAAAAATTGCTTGCCTGAACCACAGGCCAGCATATTATACCTAAGGTGTAAAAAAAAAATGGCCGTTTGTGAAACTTAAGCTTGATTTTTAACCAAAACTCGAAACAATTTTAAGGACGAATCTGATGGGTTTCCTTCCCCTGTTTTTGTCTTAAAAATTATTTTTGCAAGACATTATGTCATAAGCATATTCCATCGACCACACCTCCCCCAACCTGTCTTACAAAACACGCCCCCTTTTTGGGCGGGGGGGACCAAGCCCATTCACCCTAATAAAAACTCCCGGAATTCAGTGATATTAGTTAAACCATTTCTTATGGTTACTTGTCACTAAAAAGCACGACTCATTACTGTGGCCCAAGTTGATGCAGCATACAAGACAGTTATGGTGCAGGCATTTTGACAAACTTGTTATTTTTTTTGGGGGGGGGTCTTCATTGACTTAACACAATGCAGAAAGTTTTCGATGTGTTTTTAAAACAAAAAAAGGGGGATTGGAGTGGATTAAGACAACTTTTCCCCCCGGGAATTTTTTTCTCTTGTGACCGTTATATCATTTAATGTGCTTGGTATTTTGTAAAATAAGAAAAAAAAAGTTACAAAAAAAAAAGAACATGCCTGTGTATCAGTTTTATGAGAAAGTGTTTGAAAGGGCACTTTGCAGCTTCGTATTAAAAAAAATGCCTCGCTCCAAATGAAAAATCGAATCCATTTCTGTGTCGCTTTGTCATTTATTCTTGTTGGTTTTAATAGGTTTTTTGCTGGTTTTTTTTTCAACAAGAATTTTTTTGGTGTTTCCTCATGAGAAAAAATGTTTGCAAACTGTTGTTCCTTTTCCCCCATAATTTTATGTTGGGGGATCTCATTTTTAGAGCTTTTAGGTTTCCTTCAAAATGTCTTAACATCAAAATTTAGGAAAATAGGTTGTTCTATATTATTTAAAAGAAAATGCAAATTTTGGTTATCAGTGGCTAGTCTTGGAATAAATTTGAGAAAAGTGCCAAATTGGGAGAAAAAAATTAAGAAACGCAGTTTTATAAAAGAAAAAAGAGAGAGAAAGAAAAAGCTTTTTAGGAAAGGTGGCAGAATCCCCTCATTTATGGGGGAGGGGCTAATTATATTTTGGAGGGGTGACAATTTTCTCCCCCACCCCTTTTTGGAGATGGGTCCCCCCCCCCCTGAAGCCATACTCCTCCCACTTTTAGTCTGACTATATTTTGCAGATAAAGCTTTTTAAAAAATCTGACACATAGTCTGGAAAAAAATTCTTGAAATTTGGTAAAATGGGGTGTTCTGTAAATAATTTATCCAAAAAGGTGAACATTTTCGGCCATAACTCAGTCTTGGAACAAATTTGGGAAACTGCCCAATTGATTTAAAACAAACCCTAAAGAGAGACAGTTTTATTTATGAAAAGAAAGACATTATTTGGGTATTGGGAGAGTTGACAGAGGCCAGCTCCATTTTATGGGGTAGGGGGTTCCTTATTTTTTTTTGGGGGGGGGGGGTTGACAGAATTCCCCCACCCCTTTGGGAGGTGGGCTTCCCACTTGCACTTTTAGTTTAGTCTGACCATAGAGGTAGGAAACATATTTTGCAGAGAAAGTTTTTAAAATCTGGGACATATTGAACATTAGCTGACTACTTTGTTCGGATAACCGATTCGATTCACACACACAAAATGGTGGCAATTAAAGAGGGATCGTGATCGCGCAAAGTTGCATAATTAAAAATGTTTACAAAACACACAAAGTACAAGAAGAACACAGTGCAACCTTCGTGCTCAGTTAACACTGGTTCCCGCCCCACGACCTGCCTTAACATCAGTGCACGACGAGTACCAATGACTGAGGCAAATTATCATTTATAAGTTACGCCATTTTCTTTTGAAGACGCTTCGGGTTGTCAACAAACTCAGAAGAAAACTCCCTGGAATGTTGGAAAACAGGAGAATGCTGGCGTCGAGAATAGCTGATTTAGATTCATGAAACCTTAGTGGAATGAATGATATATCAAGTTCTTCTTTAGTAGATTTTGTATTGGAGAAAATAAGCCGTTTTTATTAGGTGAGTATTTCGGTCGTGTTGCTGCCCGTGATGTGACAATGTTTACGTTCGATATTTAACAAAATATATGGCGCCTATTTTACTTTTTATCATTAACTTTTACCACTCGTCGAAGACTCGTCCCTCTGATACTGACCACAACTGCCATATATGTTAAATATTGTGAAAAATTTGCATTATTTCATTGGATGTGTTTGAAATATAAGTAGTTTGTTTAAATCTTTATCATGTTTGTTTGGAAAAAAGGTTGAAACCTGACTCCACTTTTTTGGCGATCGTGTAGGCCTAGTGTAGGGCCCCTGTTTTTTTTATTTTATCAAATTAGAGTCAAAAATATGTTTTAATTGCTCAAAAATTACCTCTACAATCAAAAGCAGACTTTTCTAAATTGTATTGACACCCTTTTTGCAATTTTGAACAGTTTCTTGGGGTAGAAATCACGATTTTCCTGGGCGGTTTGTGCCTTGCGATTCAGCGCGCCGTGTGTGCTCACGGTACATCACGCGGTGATCGCCATCCTTATTTCGGGTTGCATGTTGTCGCCGCACTGTCATTGTCATTTTACCCCCAAATTTCCCCCCAAAAATCAAAACCCTGCCCTTTATTGATGACATACCTGTTGATTGAGAATGTCGCCAACTAGTTTGGTCGGTCAAATAAAAAGTAATAATTTTAAAGTGGATTTTGTTCCCTAATAAACAGGGCCCTACACTACACGATCGCCACTTTTTTTCTTCATATAAATTATCGTCTCAATCATGGAGGTAGATGAAGGGCATCCATTGCAAAAATGATAAGACAATAAAGACATGAATCCAAACATTTCCATTTTTGTTAGGAAATAATTTTCTTCACTCCATAGAGTTTGTAATTAGGCCCACACAATCACGGAAGCGGCTTCAGGTTGCAACATTTGCTTCGTTTGTTTTTACGCAATGGTTTGGAGAATTAGCTTTTTTTGTTCACTTTTTTTCTTCATATTTAATCTCTAAAAAGGTCATTTTAAACCCTCCTTACGTCAGAACAATCACAGACAGTCACAAAAATCATCCTCTTCCCCTGCCACCCCATTATATTCACCAATAGTCAGATCATTATCAAGCAAGTCACGAGCAGTCAGATCATATTTTCAAGAAAGCACGTTGACTAGTCAAATTCAGTCAACAGACAAAAGTAGGCAAGTGGTAGGCACACAGCTGGTTTGTCACCAATCGCCTGTAGGCCAGGCACAGCTGTGTCAAGTTGTATGTAAACAGCCACAGCCAGTCAATCCTGTTTTATGTTGGCAGGGAGCACTCAACCGTTAAAAACAGTCACTTGACTGATTTTGACGGAAAGGACAACTTTGCACAGAATGTATGTTTGCACTGGATCAGCTGGAGGGTTAAAGAAGAGGTTTTTGTTTTATTACAAAACATTGTTTCAATGTGCCAATTTATGAGAATCTCAAACTTTAAAGCCAGAGTCCAATCATTTGCAGCTATCCAAAAAGTAACTGGCGTAATTATTGTTGAAAAACATACTTGGTTGATAGATAGTAAGGGGACTAAACTCCCTGTGAAATTATTCTTTCTGGCAAGCTGTCATTTTGAAGAAATCAACAAAAGAATGCCTTTCCAACGGTGCGTCTTAAGAAGCACCGTTGGAAATTTCTGTTAGTAGTTCGTTTTGTTATTCGACGAAGCGCGCGCAAGCATTGGCACGACGCACACGCGCGCGTGGTTGCTATAATTTGTCGGATCAGTGCACGACATCGCGTAGCTGCAATCGGCTCAGTGAGAACGTGTCTCCCACGCTGAATTCAGGCCCAATTCAAAACATGATTCAGAAACTTTAGATTTGAAATCGAGATCCTAGAATGTTGTTTTTCTCAAAATATACAGCTGAAGCCGAGCTGAAACTTCATCAGGTTAGTTGTTCAGCACCCTTCTTTAGATCTTGAGCACTTTTGTTGCTTCAAACGAACAAAATGCACAAATTACAAATGATGGACTATACCTTAAAATTATAATTTATACCTACCAACCATCAGTAAGGCTACTGATTAAAATGTAAAATACAGTATGCTCACACTCATTTACTTGCTATATCCCAAACCTTCATTTTGGACCATATACAGTGCATGCATGAATGCATTTTGTTTGTTCAGAAGTTCGGGAAAATATCCAGATGCTTTCCTATGGCACTGGTCTTGAACAAAGGACTACACGTACTTGTGATGGGCATACTATACAGTACACAAAGCACCAGTGCGTGTGTTATTGTATTGTCATGTACATTTATAAGTCTGTGTGCGTACGTGCAAGGTGTGCATGTACACTCTTAAAAACTACATGTATAAGTGCAATATGCAAGCTGTATGACTGTGTGTGTACAATTTTGTATTGACGATACAAAATTGAACAGTTTGAAAAGTAAGTTATGCCATAACTCCTAGCGCACGGACAGACTTTCCTTATTGCAATGCTGTGTAATGTATGAAAACCACGGACGCATTTTGCTTACAATAAAACAAACTGAAAGTTTTAAAGAACTGTACCAGTGCATTTGCGGGTGCACATGCATTGATCTATTGGGCTGTATATAGATTAAACTCTGTGATGGCCAAACCAGATATGAGTTTTGACTTGAAGCAAACTGGGGTTAACAAATGGTTTGAACTCAATATTTGTGAAATGTGTCCACAATATGTTTTTAATACTACATGTTTACTACATGTAGATTGCATGATACTTGCGCCCTAGAAAGTTGTCCCTGGGAATATTCAAGACATTTGACTGCCATATGGGTTGTTCCATAAATTGGAGTTCAATTGCTTTCATATCCCTGTTACAACTGATATAAGGTTTTGTAAATTCTGCACATAATCTTTAATTATAAACCCAATAATTAAACAGAACTCAACCTGTCAAACCCCAACGGCATGTTTTGTTGGAATCTGTCTGGATGGGTACAGTACCCCTAAACTGACAGTCTTTTTACATCGGGTTGGCACGCCTCCAGAATCAAAGTCAGAAATAATGTGTGTGCCATTTCCCATATGGTGTTGGAATTTGTCCGGATGGGTATGGTTCCTATGCTTTAGAGTTACATGTAGGGTTAATGCCTCTTATGTAAGGCAAATTACCTAACAATTAATTTAAAAAACAAAACAGTTGGAAGTCAATTTTAGTGATATTTGCATGGCAAACTACACAGGTCAGGTGTAATAGGGACACCAAAAAATGTCACACTTTTGGATCCCACATTTATTGATTGAACCAAATATATTTTGCAGTTCCATTTTCCTGAGTTAAGTTGAAGTTATTTGAGTTAATAGTTTTGCCATCATGTGGAAAATATCGACAACAACTTTTTGTTTATCTACACATGCCAAGTTTAAGTAATACAAGTACTTTTCAAACATTTGCAAAAGTATAAAGATTTCTACATATTCTTTCTTTTTGTTCATCATTTGTACGTTAGAAGTGAAATCTTATTCTCTTAGGTATTTCCCAATGACTAAGCCTTTTCCAATTACTTCCTGCATATACATGTAATTCTCCTGCAATACAGGCACATGATCCCAATCTTGTGATGTGTCCTACGTGACACAGTTTTTCCGCATGACAGCCAGAGTTCAAAGTTCTCTGCTATTTTTGTACTAAAGGCCAGTAGGCCACTTCAAGTGTTATTGTACTTGGTACCCATACAGGGTCACTGTGTTTAGCCCTACATGTGTGCAGCCCTACATGTATACATGTACATTGTACAGTGCACACATGACAAAACGTACAACAAGCAATTCTTATCATATTTGTGTTGCAGTCCTAATATAATCCTACACGTAGGCTACGGTACATCAGGTTTGTGTGAGAAAAACTGGGTCATTTAAAGGGAATATACATCATTTGCTTTTGCTGTAATTTTCAGAAATGGATGGAATTGGGCGGTTGGAAATATGTATAGCAAATATAGTTACACTGACTTTTTTTGAGGTTTTGGGTTCGAAAATGCTATAAAAACCAAGAAAAACAATCATTTTCCTGTAGTCTGGTTCCCTAACTCCATATAAGAAGAAACAGAGTAGTTTACATACATTGTGGAATTGTAAGGTCAGGGAACCAGTCTAGCTGGCTTGTACCCGGTACCGTTCATAGGTGTGTAATCGATTGCAAACAAGTGCGATGGTCAATTGAAAAAAGCCAGTTTTTTTCCAATGCTGGTCAGCCGACCAGCATTGGAAATTGATACAAAAATACCACTTTTCTTGAAAATGACAGTATCCAGGTGCCATGATTTTACAGGATGCTTTACACTGTCATTCACTAACAGTCCAGCAAGGTATTTCAAAATGATTTGGTAGTTTTATTTTTTGATGATTGCAAATGTTGTATTTTCCCTTTAACACTATGGCAGGACAAGGTGTGTGGTCTTTTCGCACAACTTTTTGTTGCATAAAAAGACAACTACAGAACTGTAGGTTTTTCCTGTTGTGCAATAAATTACAGTATGTAGAATCCTGCCACTAACATGACTAACCCTAACCCTGCTGAATCCAACAGGATCCAACTCTGTCATAAACCCGATGGAGCCTGTTGGATTGAGCAGTTAACCCCTTGTGTACATTCCTGATGCAAAATGTTGGATTCAGCAGGCAATTGAACCGTATTGTAACGCCATGTTGGACTCTGTTGGATTCAGCATACAACTGAAAATAAGGCACAGTGGATTGAGCAGGAAACTCCGGTTGGACTCTGTTGGATTTAGCAGGGTAGTCCTGAGGAAGTACTAGGGGGTTAGGGTTCTGATCCACATTATATTGGCCCAGGCAAGAATCGAACCTGGGTCACTGCGGTGAAAGGCGGGGAAAGTACCGCCACGCCAACCTGACTCCTCCTTAAATTTAGAAGTTGGAATTTCCCATAAGTGTACATGTACCTTGCCTGTTAACTTTGCAAAAACATTTTGCATGAACTATCAGGAAGTCAATTCCTTGTTTAATAATGCACATGACATCCCAAACAAGCAATCACACAATAACCTATTCTGTCAATGCATGTAGAGTGCACACAAACACGGATATTAGATTCAGAGTACTGACAACATTGATACCCTGCTCATCAGATCAATATACCAATGAACTCTCCAGCAGTTCCGTGATCTTCCACATTCCATTACTGTTCCAAGTGCAAGGTTATATTGTTGGTAAATCTCTATTGATATCTTTTTATTTTTATAGAGTTTTAGAGATACAGTGACCGGCCATGGAGCGTAAATCGTACCTGAACAGCGCCCCCTGGTGTCTGTCGAGTCTCGTGATGATGGCAGTCATGCTGCCCTCTGCCGTCGTTGGAAACGTTATCGCAGTGAGTGAATTTCCTCTCCATTTGTCATTAACATTTTTCTTTTGAATAACTTCAGAAATGAAATTTAATATTTAAGATTATTTTAAATATGAGTGCGAAATAAACAGATCTCTTGCCTTCACTGAAGATTGGTTGTTTCGTTTAAATTCAGTAACAATGAAAGTGCAAAATGTGCAATCATGCGTATCGTACAACTTTGTGCATAGTGACCGCGCTCTAAGCAAAAGGTCTAGTTTTCAGTAACTTGAAGGGTCCAAAGTAGGTTTTGTGACTGTTGAACTGGCAGAATTTCTACACAGCCAATTGCTAGGGCCACTTAGGTTGGCTTAAATTTGCTGCGTTCCAAATCTTTAACCCTAACCGCCCTGAATCCTACAAAATCCTTTTTGCAAATTGGAGGAATTTGCAGGATTGAGGTTACATGGCCAAAGTGCGTTGCTGATTTCGGAGTACGCACTGTGTCAAGGTCTTGGGCCGGACCTTGTGTTGTTTATGCTCAGCCGTGCATAAATTTCGTCCTTGATTATACTTGACATCCTCCGCACTGCTCCAGGCCACTGCCTCTGCCTCAGCCTATTGACAGTCATAGCCGGAGGATTTTGTAGGATTCAGGCAGTGGTCACCCCTCCATGGACCATATTCAAGAAACAACGGAGGAATTTGCAGGATTGAGGCTATATGCTATAATTTTTCCATGAGGCCAATTGGAGGATTTTGCAGGATTGAGGCTACATCCTAGCAAAAAGGCCTAGGGAGTTAGGGTTAATTCAACTTTTTATTTAATGTCGTTACACTTCTTATTCCTCTCACAGGTTACTCGCAAAAACGTCAGCTACACATTCCCATCCATGCCTGCAAATTTTGGCGACAGGCTTCCCATGAATGGGTTTAAGGTAAGAATCTCAAAGTTTGGGCATTTCTTTCAATATCTGTGAAAAATGAATAGTATACATGTATTTGTGATAACATGTTTTTGGATCCTGAAAGGTAGTAAGGAGGACCCAAATGGGTATGATTAAATCGTCAGACGCACCACAAAGAATGTGTGCACAAAGTCCATAGATGATCCTTCACTTCGTGGTGCAACCAACAAAAATATACACAAATCTTTGTTGAGTATTTTTCTTGGGACAGATTGGAGGTTTTTGGGAGTTTTTTTTTTTTACTTCAATGGTGTGGCATTGATTTTGAACATTTGGCTGCGATGACACAGAACAGTCGGCGACTAAATTTTTGGGATCGAACTACGCCTGAGCTAAGACCATCAGGTCTTACCATTTTTTTTGCGACCTGTGTAACTGCGACAGTATTAAGACAATTGCAAAAATTCGGCGCCTAAAAGATCAACAGTCGCAAGAGTAGAACAATTTCAACTTCTGTGCTGCGGCGGAGCGTGTTCCCAATAGGCGGGAATCAGTCGCAGTCGACCGTGTTAAGTAACGACTCCTAGTAGTTGCCACAATGTTGTAGCCATTGTGGGCCAGTGCAGGATTTGTAACGTTTCAGAGAAAATCCGAAGGAACTACAATTCATATCGTGACTGAATTTTCTTTCTTTTATGGTTCGTTTTCAGGGCAAGCTTGTTGTCGCTGTTCCCCTCGACGGCTGTTACACCTTGCAGCCGCCCCCGAAGGCCAACATGACAAGCTACAACTTCTTTGCCCTGATCAAACGCGACAATTGCAACTTTGATCTCAAGGTACTGCTTCACATCAAGGACAAAATTTGGACCAAACTCTACAAACTGAGTCATTTGTTGGCAATTTGAGTAACTTTTGAAGATTTTATGTAGCCTGCACATAATACCTGATTGTTTTTTGCATTTTCTGGAATTCACAAAAATATGTTGACTCAAGAATTTTTTGAAATTTTCACTTTAATTTTTTGTTGGTAGAGCACTGGACAGTATTTTGGAGGTTGCATGTTCGAATCCCTTCTAACTCTCTGTTTTTTCTGATTGCTGATTGGTTTGTATGTGACAGGTCTGGAATGCGCAGAAGGTTGGTTACGCTGGTGCTATAGTTTTTAATTCCGATGATGACGATTCAGTGCTGCCCATGAACGGAGACCAGTGTAAGTTTTTCATCCACAATCATGTCATTTGAAGCAGAACATTAAATCAACAAATTTTTAAGCAATGTGGGTCATTTTTGTCTTACCGAACTTGTGATTGACATACTATTGACTTGCGATCTACTTGTGATGACTTGTGATGGCTTGTGATTGACTTTTGATGACTTGCGATTGACTTGTGATTGACTTGTGATGACCTGTGATTGACTTGTGATGACTTGTGATTGACTTGTGATTGACTTGTGATTGACTTGTGTGATTGACTTGTGATGACTTGCGATTGACTTGTGATTGACTTGTGATTGACTTGTGATTGACTTGTGATGACCTGTGATTGACTTGTGATGACTTGTCATTGACTTGTGATGACTTGTGATGACTTGTGATTGACTTGTCATGACCTGGGATTGCTTTATTATAACTCCAACTGCATATTTGAGTGCTTTGCCCAACATTCAATGACTTGTGTTTCCCCTTGTCACACCAGACGGACAGGACATTTACATTCCCTCCGTGTTTGTCGGGGCGTCGTCGGGGAAAACACTCAAAACAATGAACTACTCAACAGGGTAAGAAACACGATCTTTAGATGAGGCTGTCACTTACTTGTAAATAGGTTTTTTGTATTAAAGGCACGTAGGAATATTGGTAATTACCCAGAAACGAACTTTAGTCAGAAAATCCTTGATCAAATGGAAGATAGGACTAGTACCAAATACCCTGTGAAATTTTTCCGCCTGAAATGATACCATTCAGAAGAAAAACAAAAATTGGAGGTGGTTATTAGAAAAAGTGTGTCCACAGGCAGACTTTTTTTCATGTGCCCTACAAATGGAATCCACTTACAAGACACACAAAATTGTGCATACGTCCGCTCTGTTTTCTCAAAGGGTATAGTAGCCATTGAGCGAAAATTTCCTCAGGTTAGTTGTGTACCCTTACATTAACCCTAACCGAACTCAACCCATCAAAGTCCAACAGCATGTGTTGTTGAAATCTGTTAGGATGGGTACAGTACCCCTAAACTGATGGTCTTTTATATTTGGTTTGGCATACCTCCAGAAACTAAGTCCAACAGTGTGTGTGTGTGTGAGATTTCCCATGTGGGTGTTGAAATTTGCTAGGTTTGGTACGGTTCCTAGTAAATTATGCTAGGGAGTTGGGGTTAAACAATTTTGTTGCTTGAAACCAAAAAAAAAAAAAAATGCATGAAAGGCAACTATGTACCTTTAACCAGTTCGCGTCAGATGATGGTATTCACGCAAAGGTTTTGCATGAATTATTCAGAATGGATAAACACGCAACGAGCGAGGCTGGAAATATCTGTCAGCGAGCCGCTCTCCGCGAGCAAGGCCGGAAATATCAGGGTGTGCTACGCGTAGATGACAGCCTGAACCCTGGGTCCGGTCAATGTCAAAATAATCCCGGCGCGAACTGGTTAAAAACAAATAGATTTCTCTTTCGGAAAATTCTGAAATTCTAGATCTTTTTCTTTTGCAGTCCCAGTGAGCTCTTACATTAGAAGCACATTGTTCAGAGTAAAACAGCTGTCACATACTGTACATTAAGAAATCCTCTAGGATATGCATAAAACTAGCAATTTGCATTCTGCACATAAACATGAATTGTTAACACACACGTGTATTAAAATCAAAATATTTTCGTGTAAATACTTTGTATGTACTTTTTTTCAGTAATGAATGAATTGTTTATCATCTGTAGTTTTATTTTCTCTCAGAATATGTTGAGTTTATCGTTCTCAGTTACTTTCCTAAAGAATTTTTTGTTGAGAATATAAACCATCTTGCCAAGGCTTTAAAGATACATATAATATACAACATTTGCTTTTGCTGTAATTTTCAGAAATGAATGGATTTGGGGTTAGTATTTTATAGCAAGTATTGTTACACTGACCTGTTTAAAGTTTTGTGTTCAAAGATGCTGGAAAAACCAAGAAATAAAATACTGTTCTTGTAGCCTGGTTCCCTGTCCCTACTTCAGATGAAACGGAGCAATTTTTTTAGACATCTGGGATTGTCAGATCTGGGAACCAGACTAGCTGGCTTGCACCTGTTCATGGCTGTGTAACCGATTGCAAACAAAATGTGGACTAACTAAATGTGAAGAATTGGGGGCAGTATTTGAAAATGTCAGTTTTCCCAACGATGGTCAACCGACCATCGTTGGAAATTGATACAAAAATTCCACTTTTCTTGTAAATGACAGCACACCAGGTGCCATGATTTTACGGGATGCTTGAGGCTATTATTCAGTTTAGTCCAGTTAGGTATTTCATAATAATTTGGTAGGTTTTTTTTTTATGTTTGCAAATGTTGTATATTACCTTCAAAACACACAAAAAAATGTTGCACAGCACAAAGTTTTCTTCTACGAAATTTCTTCCAAAGATCTCTTTTATTCTAATGAAATTCCTAAATTGATTTTTTCCCCTTCGTTTTCTTTTTCTCTTACCAGGAGCAAAATCATAATGAATGATGAATACTCATTCTCTTATAACATATACCTCGTCCCCTTCATCAGTATTGTAGGCATTTGTTTCTCGCTCATGCTCTGTTTTATGGTAAGTGAGCGGTACCCTGCATGCAGTGACGGCTGTTTTTTTTATAGGGGCCCTCTGGGTAAGCGTGATTCCAATAAATAATTCCTGCTGGAATTTGTATGTCAAAGGAAAAATCCTTTGCATCACAATGACAATTTTGTGGAAATTTGTTTCCTGAAATGTGTCAAGACCCATATTTAGTGCAAGGAAATCAAAATTTTGCTTATAGTTGTGTTTGTAGATTGAAATGTATTAATTTAGTAAAACTATTTAAAAAAAAACCCAGGTTTTCTGAAGAAATTGTGAAGTTTCACACACAATTTGGTAATAAATTTGCAATGGCACAGTGCAGTGTGGAGAAAAAGGTCTCCAAAACTTTCAACATGCAAAGCAAATCGATCACATTTCAAAATTTATTGAGCACTGCAAATTGGCAAATGCCTGATCTTTATCCATTGCAAGGAATTATTTTGATTCACGTTTGTACCATAGGGGGTCTCTATAAAAATCAGCCTATATTTGTAAAAGATGGTGGTGATTCGTTGAGACAAAAACTTGAAATAGTGGATTTTGTTCTTCTTTCCATGTTTACCCCAAAGTATCCCCAGTTTATCAAAAATAATTTCTGGGTTTTATAGCATTCTTGATAGATGCATAATTTTATAGCCAAGCCTCTATCATGTCTATAACCTACCAGTACATGTTGTAACATAAGGTATGTTGTCCTATCCGATTTTGTTCCAAGTACAAAATTCCATTTGCAAAATGGTTAATTTTCGGGATACAGAGCAGTTCTTCTCCCCCCCCCCCCAAAAAAAAATTGAGTAGCGAAATAAAGAGAGAAAAAAATGGTTGACATTTACAAATTGTTCACCCTTAAATCGACATCACAAGCTTTTTCATATTTTAAATTTTGGGCAAAATGCTTCCAAGTCAATTTTTTTCTGGCAAGAAATCAATCATGGTCATTCATGCATGAAATAATTATTACAATATTCATATTGGAGCTTGAAAAAAAAAACCACTTAATGGGTTATTGCACGATGAGTCATTTTGGCTATTCAATTTCAATTGCAAATTTATCATGATTACGATGACAATTTGCATATTTCGGCTGGCACAGCCTTCCACTTGTACAGCCGATATTCAAGATGGCAAAATTCCATTTCATCTTCTGCATATTATTAATTCGTTACAACATATTTGTTTGTTTTTTGTGTTTTTTGTGTGGTTTTTTTTAAGGGGAAAATATTTGCAGAAAATCTGTATTCCCCCCAAAAAGTTTAGACCAATTCAAAAAAAAAAAAAATTCAAAATTGCATAAAACAAAATCAAGTGAGAGGCTGTAGTCTGGATCTTAACTCATTAATTTGTTGTAGACGGGTTGAAGAGGCTTGGTGCTAGACTGACTTTTTTGGTGGTTGTTGGGGGAGGGCAATAAACTAAATTTAAAATTTCAAGAAAGTAGCCAATTTTCTTTCTGGGGGGAGAGGTATAAACTTGAATGAAAATCCACTACCACTTGTTTTCGACTCGGAGTCGCCACCATCCTGAGTTAACAGTTCGTTATCGTGATCTCTTGTATATATTATTCCCCCTTTTTGTCTGGGCTGTGCAGGGCCAAAGTGACTCTAACCCCTACCCTCAGCTTCCCTGTCAGCTATTTCCTCTTTCCGTTTGTCATTGTTACCTCCACGTGCCTCGTCTTCTTTGCTATTTACATGGTGAGTATGACGCCCCCCCCCTTTCCCCTACGAGCTCAGTGCGTCAGCAAGAGAGGGCGTTTTTTTCCCCCACCTTCCAGAGGCCCATGGATGGGACGCACGCGAAGTACGCCCACTTATTTTATTCTGAATATGCATGAAGCCAAAGAATCTTCGCGTGAGCGTCACGCGTCGTCTACAACGCGTTTGATGTCTCGATCCCCAGCCCGTCTCCCCCAACTCTCCCTTCCTTGCCGTTGAGGGGGTACTTGCGCACGGAGCGGATATCCACTGCCTTTCCCAAGATGCTATTGATACCTGTTAACACATCCCCACAACCCCCCCCCCCCCCCCCCCGAGATTTTGGAACTCTCCTGGCGAACTGATTTCTGTGCCTTCCCCACTTTCAGATACACTTGGCCTGAACAATGATCTTTTTCGTGGAGTGGCCCTTTATTAAACCTTCGTACATCTTGCAAAAGGATATTTTTTTTCAAGAATGAGGAACGTTGAACCATGCCACTGTGACATTTTATTTTAATCAATGTTGGTTTTCCTTTAATTTTTAATCCGTATGTGTTTTGTCTGATGAACGTAGAGTTTGATATTGTGTACACTTTAATTACTAATAGTTGCATGTACATAGACATTGCATGAAATTCCTTGCATGCTTCGTTTTGGTGTTAACATTCTGTGGATTTTGTGAAGTTTTCTTGGAAGGTGAGAAGTGCAAGACCAGACTAACTCTTCCCACACCTTTTGGGGGGCATGCATATATTCCATTCTCTGCATCTGGTGTGTTCATTAACTAATCTAGACTTAAAAACCACTTGCCTACTTATAAATTTGGAACTTGATCCATCAGGGCCCAATTTCACGGCGCTGCTAAGCAAATGATTTTCTGCTAACTGTGCCTCTGTCTATTTCACGGAGACGGTAAGATGAGCACAGCAAAAGGCACGCTTACTTCAGAGGAAAAATGTGCTTAACTTAGTAATGTATCAATAGAAATCTCCATGCATGCGCAACTGTTAGCACATCCGAGCTGTGAAATAGTGCTTAACCCTAACCCTCTAGGCCCTTGTTGCTTACAACCATCCTCAATCCTCCAAAATCCTCCAAAATTTTTCAACTCCGCCTAAATTTTTCAAAATTGTCAGACAGTCCTGCCTCAAAATGCATTCATCCTCAATCCTCCAAAATCCTCCTCATCCCAAAACTTTGCACTCGTGTTTAAATGAAGGATAACCAACGCCAAATCCTTCAAAATCATCAGACAGTCCTGCCTCAAAATGCATTCATCCTCAATCCTCCAAAATCCTCTTGTGCTTCATTCACCACTCATCCTCAATCCTCCAGAATCCTCATTTGATTCAATCACCATTCATCCTCAATCCTCTAGAATCCTCCAAAACCGCCAGGATGATTTTGGAGGAGTGAGGTGGGTTAGGGTTAAGGTTAGCAAATTGTTCGGCTATGCTAAGCACAACTTAATTCTGTTAACTGTTAAGAAGTGCTGTGAAATTGGGCCCAGGACCGGATAACACCACTGGCGTGATGTGTACACCCTCCTCCATATCCTGGAAATCACTAATACGTTTGTAACCACTTCGCCCATTTTCTGGAAATCCAAACGTTTCGATTTAGTTCTTATTTGTATTGAAGTAATATGTTTTTTTCCCCACAGGTTGCCAAGTATGTCAGGGACAGGAGGCGATTGAAGCGTTCCCGGCTGTCCCGCACAAACCTGAAAAAGATTCCAGTTAAGAAGTTTGTTAAAGGTGAGAGCTAAGCCCCCCTCCCACCCCCCACCCCAACCCCACCCCCTCCCCCACCACCCCATGGCAACAATTTTTGTTACATTGTGTTCATTAGGCAGTGTTGTAGTCGAGTCACATAGGTCGAGTCCGAGTCTCGAGTCACTTGGGTCGAGTTCAAGTCTTGAGTGGTTTGGGTTGAGTCTGAGTCTCAAGTCACATGGGTCAAGTCCGAGTCTCGAGTCACTTGGTCCGAGTCTTGAGTCCTTTGGGTTGAGTCTGAGTCTCAAGTCATATGGGTCGAGTCCGAGTCTCGAGTCACTTGGGTCGAGTCCGAGTCTTGAGTCCTTTGGGTTGAGTCTGAGTCTCAAGTCACTGGGGTCGAGTCCGAGTCTCTAGTCACTTGGGTCGAGTACGAGTCTTGAGTCCTTTGGGTCAAGTCTGAGTCTCAAGTCACTTGGGTCGAGTCCGAGTCTCGACTCACTTTGGTGTTGTCCGAGTCTTGAGTCCTTTGGGTCGAGTCGGAGTCTCGAGTCGCTTGGGTCGAGTCCGAGTCTCGAGTCACTTGGGTCGAGCTCAAGTCTTGAGTCACTTGGGTCAATTCAGACAGAAAAAAATGACTTTGCATTCTTAAAGTATGGCTTTTTCTTGTTTGTTTGCAGGCGATGACTATGACGTCTGTGCCATCTGTCTGGATGACTATGAGGAGGGGGACAAGCTGCGTATCCTGCCATGCAATCACGGTGAGAATCATCGGACGTTCTCCAGTTTTTTTTCCTCTCAATTTTTTAAAATAACATGTTGCTTGGGCTTGGTTGACTTTGTGATCATTGCCGAGTGCAGATTGTTAAAACTGATTTTGTTGCTTTCAACAATTCTTTCAGCGTTCCACTGCAAGTGCGTCGACCCCTGGCTGACCAACAACCGCCGCACGTGCCCAGTCTGCAAGCGCAAGGTGGTCCCGACGGGGGAAGCCGACTCGGACGAGAGTGAGTCGGAAGATGACGACAGCACTGCAAGCCCCACCGAGCACACCCCACTCCTGGCTGGCGGTGGTGGCTCCGCCCGCCAAGGGAGCACCGCGGCCTCCTCCCCGGAGGTCGACGGGGCGTGGGGAGGGGAAGACCGCTCCTCTCCGGTCCACCTCGTCGACGCCTCAACTGCGATGACCGAAAACGACAGCGACGATGAAAGCGACAATGCGATCCAGGGAAACCTGCTGTCGCGCTCCCCTATCAACGATTTGGCGCACAGCGTCGATATCGTCACGCCGACGCTACACGCTGTGCCCGATGACCTGCCGGACACCACCCCTGATCACGAATCGGTCGACGACACGCTCCCCACCGTCGTAATCGTCGACGAGAATACCGAGCCTCTGCCCACTCAAGACAACACAGATAACGAGGTTTGAACTTTGACACCCAGGTGTCATGGTGTGTATATCTGAATGGTGATCTTCTGCCCGCTCAGGACAATACAATGAATGAGGTTTGAACTTTGAACTTTGACACGGAGGTGTCATAGTGTGTATATACAAATTTATACACATCTCTGCTGTTGAATTTTAATCACTTGCTACCATTGAACTTTTTGTAGTGTAATTGATGTTGGATCTTTGATTCACTCACTCGCTGTTAGTTGTCGCATTGCAAGAATGCGCATCTTCAGACTGGAGTTGGAGACCACACAAATATTAACCCTTGACCTTCAGTGCACACATTGCTGATAATTTAAACATCTTGAGTAGTGATTAGCCTCCTTCAAATCTGCATTTTATAGATCTAACAGATGTCCCCTGCAAAGTTTGCCATGCATGTTAGTGCCATTTTGCTGTTCTGTTCGATGATTTTTCGGAGATCACTTTATTTTTAAGTAAAGTTTCTGGAAACGTTGGCAGTTATTAAGCTTCTCTGTATAACATACATGTACAAAAGGTGTCAGTAAGAGTTGTAGTTTAGTTGTGACGGGTCACTACGAGGTAATCACAAGTCAATCACAAGTCAGTTTCAAGTCAATCACAAGTCCATCACATGTCAATCACAAACTTCAGTTTCAAGTCAGTCACAAGTCAATCACATGTCAATCACAAGTCAATCACATGTCAATCACAAGTCGGCCACAAGTCAGCCACATGTCATCACATGTCTATCACATGTCACTCACAAGTCAACCACAAATCCACCACAAGTCCATCACATGACCATCACATGTCCATCACATGCCCATCACAAGTCAATCACAAGTCCATCACATGTCCATCTCAAGTCCATCACAAGTCAATCACATGCCCGTCAAATGTCCATCACATGTCCATCACATGTCAATCACAAGTCCATCACAAGTCATCCAGTCTTAGTCTAGTGACATGCTATTCAAATGAATGTGACAAAGTGATTCCTTTGTAATTTGCTAAAACTCTGCTACATGTACTTGTGATTTATATTTGTTATCAACTGAAAGACAACTCCATCACCCAAACTGGACGCACTCACAAGTAAATTTCTAGTGTAAAAATTATGACTGCGATATATAGCATTAACGACTGTAATTATTTTGTCATAAAACAAAATATAGAAAGATTGGAATTTATAATTGTAAAGATGATAAAATGTACATACGTTGTGATATTGTAATTATACTTCAAAGAAAACTATCTAAAATTGGACTAGCATATTTCGTCATACTGCTTGTGATGTTGGAATTCAGAAATTTTTGAATTGAAGCTGTTAGGAAAATACACAGTATTAGTGTGGGGAAAAAATTGCACATTGGTTTTGGCATGGTCCGGGTTCGAATCCTGTGCGGCCCATCATAGATTTGGTTTTTCAGATGGAATTCGATTCTGTGATTGGATTTTCAAATTTTTTTAGAAAATTTAGGCTTCGTACAAAACCATTGAAAGGTTTGATAACAGTAACCTGCCGAAAGAATTATTTTGTTTTATTTTGGTTCATAAGAGGCTTTGTGATCAAACAATATTTGTTTTCTTTTTCCTTTTTGTACCTTTTTTCTGATTGCCGTGACTTGTTTCAAAATTTGTATTTTTCAGAAATAGTTCCAACGTTAACTTCAGAAGTATTTAGAAAGTTCAATTTTCAATTCCTGCGATTGTTATGAAAGCTGATAAAGCTATGCTTTGACTGTAGGAGATTGATAAGATAGCTGTACCTACCAGTCACCTGTTTTTGGCTGTTGATGGAATTTGACTGTCACAGTGCCTACAGAGAATTATGATCTGACTGTTGGTGACTAGCCTGTGTAAAAGGCATGGCAGGGGAACAGGATTGAATTTTTGACTGTCTGTGACTGATCAAACAAAAAGAGGGTTCAGATTGAATTTGATGTCAGCTGTAACGGTTTTTGCAAGTTGGCGAACTGATTAGTTACATCAGCTCAAGACTGGCCTCTCAAAGATGTACCAAATTAAAATATGTCTAAGATTTGAACGAGAGTTTAACATTCGAAACATAACGTTGTATCTATAGCATTAATACTTTGTATCACATTTATGTAGTCACATACAAAAATGTATTATCGATATTTGATACACAAAATTTAGGTGTATATATTTAAAATCTCTCTCATCTATTTGTTCCAATCGTTGCTTGAAGTCAATTATTGTACGTGATACAAGAGTGAGTATTTTCCTAAACTTTTACCGAATTTTTATTGTCAACTTTACGAATTGTAATGTGGTTTTTGTTGTGGTGTATCCATTATGTATCAATTTACTTTTTGAAGGAACATTCTGAGGCAGTTTTTTGTGGATTTTTTTCCCCAACAATCAAGAATGATTTACTTTGTTGTTCCATAATGATTGGAATGCGCATATGAATATGAAAATACATTATAAGAGCCATTGTTTGTTTTGTGAATTGTTAATATTCATTTTTACGGTTCTATTTTTTTTTGGGGGGGGGGTTCTTTTTATTTCCCCCTTTTTTTTTCCTCACACAAATCTGGTTTCTTGTGTAAACTTTTGTAAAAGAGGAAAAACCTCATCCAATTTTTGTTTTAATTAACATTTTTGTAATCTTTGTAATTGATTTTGCTGATTTTTATGACTCATACAATATTTTTTTGTGAAGAACTGAATTTGCTGCTGTAAGGTGATTTTTTTATGAAAAGTATCACATTATTTGTGTATGGTATAACTGGCATTATATTGTGCACAGCTACTTGTATAATGAATACAAAAAATAAACGGGAGATTGGCGATATATGATATGATAGTTGTACTGTCAGAAATTTGTTCCGAAAAATACATAATTTGTACATTTTATATTTAAAGATAGAGTATATCATTTGCAGCTATCCAAAAAGTAACTGACAAATTTATTGTTGAAAAGCATACTTGGTTTGAAGATAGTAATGGCACTAAACTCCCTGTGAAATTATTCTTTCTGGCGTGCTGTCGTTTTGAAGAAAACTGCAAGAAAGCAATTTCCAACGATGTGTCTAAAGACATATTTTTGGAAATTTCCATTAGTTATTCGGTTTATTAATTCACGAATTGGTGCGTGCAGGCGTTGAGACACACATGCACGCACAGTTGCTGTTATTCGTCAGTGCTTGACATCGGACGCTATTCAAAACATGACTGCAACGTTTGAATTGAAATCGAGATCCTAGAATGTTGTTTTTCTCGGAATATACAGCATTCACTGAGCTAAAACTTCATCAGGTTTGTTAAGCACCCTTCTTTAGATTTTGGCCACTTTTGTTGCTTCAAACGAACAAAAATTCACAAGTGACACAATGATGTACTCTACCTTTAAATTGTTTGAGCAAAATAGTTTGACTAGGATCAAAATTTTACCTCAGTTTTTTTTTAAGTATCCACCTTCTATATTTAACCTCGCCCCCTATCCTACATTTATGTAAATTACCCCCTTCCCACAACCACAACTGACTCCACCCCCAATTGTCCATTATAGGCCATTTTTCCTCCCAGATGTGTCAAAACATTTTTGTAACAAAATGAACGTTTTTTTCCCATTTATTATTTTTTAAAAAGCTGAATAGAGATTACAAACATATGCTTTCCAGAATTTTCTCTCTCAAAAAAGAGGGAAAATGTCCTGCCGGCAGGGGGCGTTCCAAAAGTCGTCTGCAGGCGCGATTTTGATACATCTCGTCACATTATTACAGTTCGAAACCAGACGATGTTAGCTTTCTTTACATGCTACCGCGGCCGATACCAGACATGTACCGCGCCATTCGTAAAAATTCAATTTTGCATGCGGTCAAAAATTGCCGGCCAGAAAAAGGGTTTGGCGGTCGAGTTGATTGGACTACTGTCATTTTTTTGCAGGAATATTTGAATTGAAAAGGGGAGAACAATGTCTTGGGATGCATACAAGGATTCCCTGGATAGCTACTACGTGGCAGAAATCCAGAAGCGTGGCGAGAAGGGACCGAGTCAACTCACGCACGCCGGGATTTTTGGACTAGCCGACGGCAACCCGTGGATGTCAACCAACAAGAAGTGGTCGATAGCGGTAAGTCCACTGCATCTTATTCGTGAAAAGAATTTTTTTGGCGGTAAAAAAGTTTTGAGTGGTGCGCAAGTGGTCATGGTGGTTTAGCCTAAACTTGAGTAGTTGTAGGCCTAAAATCAATTTTGTGAGGAGCGCTAAACAATTTGATTAACTTTTAAACAATTTTTGACTGGTTAATAATAATGGTTTTGCAGATTTCGTGATTTTTTTTGGGGGGGGGCGGGGCTTAGGGGGTTTGAATAATGTGAACAATTCATTTTGGAAAGAATGTTGCAACCTTACGCTATATCAATGGTTGGTAGGCCTACAAAGTCTATGGAGAGTCAAGACAATTTTTGTAAGTTTTCCTACCAAAATTGGAAATATTTCTCAGTCCCAGATTCATCAAGCCTTTTCATCATTTTTGAGAAAAAAGCAGCATCAGGTTGCAACATTCTTTCCTTAATTTTTGAATAATTAATTTTAAAACAAATTTTTTGACTGGTTTTGCAGGTTTCGTAATTTTTTTTGGGGGGTGGGGCTGAGGCAGTGAGGGGGTTTGAATATTAAATTGTTTGTAGCAGTAAAGTAAAGAAATGTGGAAGGAATATTGCTTCCTGACGCCATTTTTTTATCACATACGCCTTGCAAAAATGTTGAACAGATATGAAACTGGAACTGAGAAACATTTGCAATTTTGATAAAAAAATAAAATAAATGTGTTGTACTAGGCTAGGCCTATTGTTAAGGAAATACAATAATGTAGGCCCCTAGTTTGAAAATGTTCTTGACTCTCCATATACTTTGTACACAATAGCTGAAGTGGCACAAACAAAATGACAAGATGTATACATACCGATAGCAAATCTGTGATTAAAAACAAGGAAAAAGGAGGCGGGTGGGTAAGAGCAATCGGACAGAGATGAGAAACTAGTTTATTTTTGCACTTGGCCAACTAAGCAAAGGTTTAATACTGTCAGACATTTTTATCAAAGGTGTTATAGGAAGATACACACGTTGGTTTTATATTTGTGGTATTGTGTAAAATCATCACCATTTAATGAGAGTCTTTTACCTTTTTTTCAGGCCAGTGCTGGTGAGATTAAAACAATTGTATCAGCCTTCACGCAAGCACAGAATCCCCTAGGCGCCACCGGCATCAAGTTAGGACCAATGAAATTCATGTACCTGCGGAACGACGACACGACGGTGTACGGCAAGAAGAAGGGAATAGGGTCTCTATGCATTTACAAGTCTAAAACAGGTGAGGTCATAGCTCAGGAGTTCATTAACTGTAAGCTTCCTAAATCCTCTTCGCAAAATGGAGGATTTTGCAGGATTGAGGCTATATATGGCAAAAATGTGTGGCTGATTTTGGAGGATGCACTGTGTCAAGGTCGTGGGCCGGACCTTGCTTTGTTTATGCTCAGCTGTACGTAAATTTAGGCCTAGATTGTACTAGAAATCCTCCGCGCTGCTCCAGGATGTCACTGGCTGTGCATCATTATATTGACAGTGATTGCCGGAGGATTTTGCAGGATTGAGGCAGTGGTCACCCCTCCAAGGACCACATTCAAGAAATAACGGATGATTTTGGAGCATTGCGGCTGTATGCGATTTTTACATGGAGGTAGATGGAGGATTTTACTCTAAAGTAACAAAAAATGTCAAGTGTGAAATAGTAAGTAACTTTCGAGCTGAAGTACAAGAAAAAGTATGAAGTTCTAATAGACGTACAAGAAACCATTGAGAAATTAAAAAGTAGGCCTACATGATTAACTGTCTTAAATAAATGAAAACATAATTTATTTATAGGTCATTCTATACATTTTCCCCCACTTTTTTTCCTGTCCCTGTTACATCTGACATTTAAAAATTATTGATGCATTCCTTAACCCTAACCAGACTCAACCCACCAAAGCCCAACAGCAGGTTTTGTTGAAATCTGTTAGGATAGGTACAGTACCCCTAAACTGGTTTTTCACATTGGGTTTGGCATACCTCCAGAAACTAAGTCCAACAGTGTGTGTGTACGATTTCCCATGTGGGTGTTGGAATTTGCCAGGATGGGTATGGTTCCTAGTAAATTATGCTAGGGAGTTAGGGTTAATGCAGTCGCCCTCCAAGAGTGAATTCAAATAGCGAACAACCGTACCTGTTCAACAAATAAAATTGCTAAAGTCATTCTTAATTAATGATACTTACATGGCAAATTACAAAGTACCAAGGTAACAGGGACAGATTATGTCACACTTTGGACCCTTAATGCATAGAATGACCCTTTACACATGTAGCAGGACAATTACATTTGGTTAAATTGATCATTTTATTGATATTGACGCCCTTATTTCAGTGCTGTAGCTGAAGTGGTCCAAGTACACATGTACACCAATTAAATAATAAAAATAACATTCAAGTTCAATACCATGTACATTGTATGTGTGTCTTGCACATGCAGTCTCAATATGTAGTGTAGTGTGTCTAGTAGCTGTCTAATGTACAGCGATATGTCAATGTGAATTTCCTCTACACTAGATACGCGGATCTCGTTAATGTCATTTAACCTACTTAGCAACTGGACACCGTGCTGGCTCGAGCCCGCAGGGTAGCCCTGGACTAGCCTGGCTATCATACCGGGCCAAAATATGCGGAGTGCACATAGCCCAGTCCCACTGTACACAGACTTGTCATAATATTGGCTCGAGGGTTGGACTGTTTGTCAGACAGTTGCCAGGAGTTCACAGCTGAATTACATCGTGGACTGCACAATAAAAAACATATTTTTGTCCATGCTTGCTAGTTTGGCGTTTGTAAAATGGCCCAGTTCGTACATCCCAGTTCGAATGTAACATCCATTAGGCCTATACATGCAGTTCTACTTTGAGAGGAGTTTTTCGTTTTCTTAATAGCTTTTCTGCCCCTTCTTTGTGTAGCTGTCACCTTAAGTAGCCTTTAAAGACAATGTGACTTTACAGAGGACTTTTTGTTTTTATTACACTGTACCTCAACCTAATTTAATGGAAGAGTTCAAAGGGTCGAATGTAAACCTACAAAAAGCAGTATGTGAGTTTTGGGAAAGCAATTGCAGTAAAGTATCCTGCCTACGGACAATGATTGAGTTCAAACCCCAAACTGAAAGTCCTTAGACAATCAACTCAAGGTCATGTACACGTTAGTTACTGGTAATTGATTAAAAAAAAAACCCGTTTCCTCTTGACTTGAACTGATTTTTATCATTGGTATCATTGATTCATTAATTGATTGGGCTTTTCTCGTCTCTTTCGTCTTCGGCCGTCCAGCCCTTCTGATCGTCATCGCGAGCGAGGCTGCCCAAGCCGGCGACGTGAACAGCGCCACCATGAAGCTGGGCGAGTACCTGACGAAAAGCGGCATGTGATGAGTGCCCTCTAGGGGGCGCCCTTCGTGTTGTCGGTTCTTCCTTTGTTGGCACAAGTCCTATTTATCTCACCCAAATTTTTTATCTTAGTTTATAAACAAGCGCCTAAAAGTGTTCACAGAAATGTGTTTGAAATGATTTAAAAGAATACTAATTTTCACAGAAATCTATTTGTAATCAGTTATGTACATTTTATAGTCTAGAAATTGTTGAAAGTATTATTTAATTTAATGCATGTATGTATAATGTACATTATATATGTTCAACATACATACTTATGTACATGTGTTGATTATTTTGTGTTATGCATGTTATGCACACAAATACCAAACGAGGCTTGAACGATTTTTTTAAGTATTTTATCCAGACTGTTTGTGTTGTTGCAATTGTTGTTGCATTATTTGATATGCGGTAAAACCAGGCCATAATCGAAACTGATTGACATGCCAGATTTGGAATCCGGAACGATTCAACACATGTACGTCTCGATTCACTCTGCACAAAGCGTTTTGGCTCATTCGGTGGTATTATCAGGATAATTTACCCGGTCTTCCCTTAATTCCGCCCAAAATCCAAGCATTACCAACCGTTGATGGAATGAGGTATTCACAGCCCATCAAATATTGCTTTACATGGGCTCATTGTCACAATAAAGTCGGTCGTTAAAACATCCATTATATTATTATTTGACTCATCTTCACAGATAGGGGCTCTACATGTTGAATACGGAATCCACCTTTTAATAGTATTGTTGAAAAAAAGGTCCAGAAGTTCTTAATCCCATTTATTTATGTCAGTTTTAAATTCGTTTTAACCACAGAGCCATTTTAAGCGTTTAACTTATGCAACAGTATCGGTATCCCATTTTAAAGCTGTGACATATTTTCCTGATAAAATTTGATATAAATTTTCTGGAAAATTGATGCGTTGGTTGCCTGAGCAAAGCAGGAATTGAAGGAAAAAAGGAATTGTTTTGTTCAAATTGAAATATATACATTTGGTAATACCAGTGACAAAAAAACAGGAAACCAAAATGCGATCCCAATAAGTCTTGCATTTAAATATGAGTTGCGTAGCAAACGTATGCATGCCAGAATTTGCTTCCAAGTGTTCACTCCAGCAGCTGTTTCTTGTTCCGTTTGTTTTTCCATCTTGAAAGGGAAAACGATTACTTTCTTATTAATCGCTCTGTAAGGAACCCAGATGTGCCCGTGTGTATTGGGGTGCACAATTCAGTTTGATGATGGCGATCAAGCATGCCTGATGTGCTTGTAGCAATTCCTCACATCAGGGACGAACGATAAAACAACAAATTAATGGTTATGGCTTTTGCAGAAACCTTGGGCAATTTTTGTCCCCCCCCCTCTAAAAAAAAAAATGAGAAAATAAGTATAATCATAAAATAAGACTGCCAAAATATCAGAAGTTGAAATTTTTCAGCAATTTTGGTTTCCTTTCAGAAATGTCCTTCCATGACCAAAACATTAGGCAGTTAGACCCTCTACAATTTAAGTATTGCAATTTTTGTATATTTCAGAATAATCCAATCAGTAAGCAGTTTGCAACAGTTTTATTCATTTTCATTTTTTTTTTTTTTTAAATAAGGTGCATGTTCATAACTCCATGTGCGTTTCCCCTACTGCCTTAGTTGATGGATGGGGGCATGTTCGGTGTCTAGCCTAAACAAAAAATTCCATGGGAAATTACCGGAACTTTCATATTTGGTCATAGAAAATTTGTGGAATTTGATTCCGGAAAGAAACGCACCAGGATTCCCGTGCACCGTGAACTTGACATATATCCTGCTGGCTTGCAGGCTTGAAGTATGCAACTACCCCCCCCCCCACTCCCCCCAAATTTTTTGAACAAAATTCAAAAAAATTAAAAATTGTGACCTGTTCTGTCAAAAGCAGACGCTTCTGGGCAGAGGTTGAAATTGAGATAGGGCCAAAAAAACGCTGTGGGGGTGATTTTTATCAATTTTCAAATGTTTGCATATTTGTAATCCTGAACATGTCTAAAATATATTATAAAAGTTTGAAACCCTAATTGAACTCTACATATTTTTGATGATTTTGATAAGGTATGTCAGTTAAAGAAATAACTGTTTTGTGACGTTCGTGGCCATTTTCTCTGTTTTATACTTTTCGACACAATGAACTTCAAAATAGCATACATGTAACTCTGCCCAGGAATGACCGGTTTCAAAAATTAAACCACCTATTAAAAGGAAAAAGAACATATGTTAACAATATGTAAAAATATCATTTTCGACCTTATGCCCAGAAAAGTCTGATTTTGACAGAACAGGTCACAATTGTCAAAGAAATTTGTTTAAAAATTTGAAAATACATAGTATATCATATTCGGTTTTGGGGTGTAAATTCTGTTATTGCTGCTCTCAAAAAAAAAAATTCAAGTTGCATTCTTGTATTCATGGTCTATAGGCCTGATTGACAGAATTTTATTTACACTTGTGTAAACAGAACATGTCGGCATTTCGTGGCTGACATTTTTAACATTGCTTCCTCTGAATCTTCTGTTGCTGCTACATGTACATGACTCAGTGTGCGTTATGGGCACATTTGTTTGAATTTGAAACGCAGATCTGTAATTAACGTGCCACCAACAAGAAAAACACATGATATGCTCGGGATTTGCACACACCAATTTGTCTAAAAAATGTATAGTTGTATACATGGAGGGTTTTTTTTTTCAAAGGTTGGCTGAATATTTGCGCACATCAGTTTGTTAAAAACATGTATACATGGATTTTCTTTTTTTGTAAAGGATGACTGAATATTTCAATCCCATATCCATTCTAATCATTTCCTTTTTGAAGAAATTCAGTTGTAGTTTGATTTTTTTGATTAAAGTGAAAAAAAAAAACCGTCCGATTTTAATTTGTGGAAATTGAATTTTATATGAAATGGTCAAATCAAATTCTGAAATGAATTTGAACAGTGTGCTGAATTTTATACAATTTGCATAATTTGCGATGTACATGTAACTGCAATTTTTTTACGATCTAGTTTTCTTAAACCGATTGATAAGTGTGGGCTTTCAAGAAGCAAGTTTTTATTTTGTACCATCAGTATTTCGTAGATAGCAGCTTATTTCAGTGGGCAGTAAAAAAAATATGCAGTATTTCTGTTGTTAGAGAATAGTTCAAGCCTCCTGTTGTGTAATTATTATTTATTTTACGTTAATGAAATTACAGGGATGTCAAAGGAAACTGCTTAAAAAAATGCATGCAAAATTAAAACTTTGCATTCGTGACAAACCACATTCGATTCAGTATTTAAACAAAAAGTCAGTTTTACGTTTTGTTTTGTTAGACTATGGGGTCCGTGCACAAGTACTTCAACGGCCAGAAAAGGAGAGTTGGGGAGACCTTGACTGGTTCACGGTCCATCCACTGTGTATTTGATTGATCCAAAGTTATTGGGGGCGGGGATTAGTCTGGGAGACCATTGCAAGTTAAATTCGCACGTATTCGCGCGCCGCCGCTCACGCGAAGATGCTGTGGCTAATACATTCTAGCTTTGGAACCTTCAGGAAGTCATGCGTACTTTGTGCGCGAATCGGTTTAGTACAGTACGCGCACACTGTGTGTTCCGTCCATGGGGCTCTCAAAAGTGGTAAAAATGCGCCCTCTTTTGTTGGCACACAGAGCCTATTAGACTATTGTTCAATTTAAATCAAGTCCATTTGGCCAAAACGCAGACGCATGTGTTGTACGTTTTAAAAAACTAATCAATTTTTACGCTTTAAAGGTATTATCTTTGTTGTACTGTTGTGCAGTTGATTTAATATTGTGATATTTCACAGAAATGCTGTAAATTTGGGTATTGTGCTATGCAAAAAAAATATGATCCTCCTGTTGTCTTGTTTAGATAAGAAACTTAAAATGTGCATCTGAAATCTTTAAAAACAATAGTTTTGATGTTGTATTCAAATTTTTGAAAAAGATAAATATAATTGAGTTACGTGTAGTTTGCTTAATTGATTGTTCAGTATTGTTGCCAAAAAAAATTGCTTTAAAAAAATGTGAATGGCTTACCAGAAGGCCGTTTATATATGACCAGGAAAAAATGTAGTAGTTTCTCTCCTGGTCACATTTGTCCTCATGGTGCCAGTATTTAAAAAAAAAATTATAGAAAGATTTTTATCAGTTTTAGAAATGTCTCATTGTCATGTGAAATTCATTGACTTGCAAATTTTTTTTTAACCGAGAAGTATTCTTGTTTATAAATGAAGTTAAAAGTGTTCATTGTTTACCTTTTTATTAACTTACATATTTTCAATTGAGCATATGTGCATTTTTGCTGCATAAAAGCCATTGATTTACGTTGAATTGTTGAGAAATGTTTAAAAGTGCAATCATCAAAATTTATAGTTGAAATATTTCAAAAAAATCCCATTGTTTGGGAAAATACAGTTGGCGATATAAGCTAAAGAGAGAAAGAATGAAATAAAATTTAATTTTTGTTATTCAAATGTAGGTTTTTGCAATCAAAAAAATTATAATCCAGTATTAGGGATTCACAATTTTCAATTTTGGATTTGCAGACTGTCATAACTAATTCAACAATCTGTAATAAGGATTACAAATCTAAAAAGCGAATTGCGAATCATTAATAAGAGATTAATTTTCTTTTCATTAGAACAAGTGGGCTTTTAATAGTTACCCCCAAAAAGAACATTTTCTAAGACATTTTCTAGTCGAAAGATGTACCTTCTTACATAAATGAAAGAACTTCACAGAAATGTCCATAGCAAATGCATCTACTGGTATATCGCACCATAATGTGCACTGCACGCACAATCTTAGGATGTGTCAAAGTGGGTCACCTGACTCGACCATCCATCATAATTGAAGACATTCTCGAAATGTTTCAGATTTCTTTTTCTGGAATACCTGAATTGGCCAATTCCTTTGGTGCAGTAGGATTTTTTACATAAATTACTTTTTTTTGTTAATTGTAATCCTTGCCATTTTTTTTTAGCAATGATATGTTAATTGTGCCATGCATGAAATGATGACATATTAAATGAATAAATTGAGAATTGCCAAAATTTATTGTTTAGAGAAATTATTTCTATTTGTGTCTTATTTTTCTCGCGTTGTGCTGGTGTGTATTTATTAAATATGTCCGGGACTTATTTCAAGTGTATTTGAAGTGATGTGTCTCACATTTTTACTTCAAAGTTTTAATTTTTATTAAGAGTTGTCATTGAGTCAATAGCAAGTCAAATCACTAGTCAATCACAAGTCAATCATTAGTTAAATCATCAGTCAATCACAAGTCCATCATTAGTCAAATCACCAGTTAACCACAAGTCCATCATAAGTCAAATCACTAGTCAACAAGTCAATCACAAGTCAAATCACTAGTAAACCACAATTCAAATCACTAGTCAATCAAAAGTCTAACCACAATTCAATCAACAAGTCAAATCACAAGTCAAAACACTAGTCAATCACAAGTCAAATCACAAGTCAATTATTAGTAAAATCACTAGACAACCACAAGTCAATCATGCGTCAAATCATGTCAATCATAAGTCCAATCACCAGTCAATCATTAGTCAAATCATTAGTCAATCACAAGTCTAACACAAGTCAATCCGAACTCAATCAAATCAAATCACAATTCAATCATTAGTCAAATCATTAGTCAATCACAAGTCAGATCATTAGTCAAATCACAAGTTAATCACAAGTCAAATTATGAGTCAATAACAATTCGATCACAAGTCAATCACAAGTCAAATCGCTAGTTAATTATGATTGAAAAAGTATAGAAATGATAAGACAATCACATCCATGTGACGTGTTAGCCCAAAAAGCATTTAATGTCACTCATGGAACATTACAAAACCCACAACAGCATCTTTAACGAGGCCCTTTGCATGTCGTCTCGCCCATAAAACCTCGAGCACAAATCCTTAAATCCTCAACACAAAAATGCCAAACCTCTGATACTTTAACCTAATTCTTAAACGCTTTAAAGAACAAGGAAAAAAAATCTTGACATTTTACTGGAATCTGAAATGTCCTAAGGCCATCTGGCTTGGAGAATTTTTTTTTTTTACACGGCCTGTTCACAATTCACACGGACACACATACATACAACTAACAAGCCTCAATAAAATAGCGGTATGTGTTTTGCACGCACTGTATAGACGGCGGTGCGACATGTATGAATAATCGGGGACAGATGCGTGTGAAATTGGGACGGAATAACTCGGGAGATAATTCGACGGGTTTCAAGTTACTTGTTCGGCCAAGGCATGAAAAACCCTGCAGTATTTAAATAGACTTGCCAGCTCGCCCGAAGAATGAAAATACCGCAATTGATTGAATGCTCTCAGACGTGTTATAATGCTTAAAGTGAATAGGATGTGGCATTTGTATGTCATGTTATTGATGTTCAGATGAATTCTTTTGAGGTAGTTTCGCTTTTCTTTACAATGTATAATTGTGTCTGGGAAAATGTACTTTTCAAAATGACATTTTTTTTATACAATGGAAATTAACGAAATGAAGTTGATCGTTTGTGGTTTTGAGTTTTTGACTAATTCTTTTGGTTGGTTGGTTGCTTTGTTATTTGGCGGAATCACAAAGTAATTGACATATTTTCACTGATTATTGATCAACTGATTCATGATATCTTCATCCATTTATTGATAGAATTGACAATGAGTTACTAATGCGACTTATTTCTTTTTCTTTTATTGGCACCTAGGCTATGCTTTGATTGTAGGTGATTGATAAGCCAGCTGTGCCCACCACATGTCTGCTTTTGTCTGTTGACTGAATTTGACTAGTAACATTGCTTGCTTGAAATATGATCCGACTGTTGGTGACTAGCCTGTGTAAAGGCATGGCAGGGGAAGAGGATTGATTTTTGACTGTCTGTGACTGTTCAGACAGCAGGAGGGTTAAAAAAATTAGCTTATTCCCAAAGCAGATGTATACTGAAAGGCATATAGATCATCTGCATTTCATGCATTCTGTTCATTTCAAATTATAAAACCACTCCAAATCCAAAGACGAATGTTCAAAACCTAACCTGCTGTAGTCTCAGCTCAGTGGATAGCTCAGTGGATATTACAGTAACGTTTTGAGAAAACAGTGAAAAACCATGCACAAACTTTTGATCAGGAAACATGATTTCGTCCATAGCACATATTTCCAAAGAGCAGTTGACTGACCATTAGAAATCACCTACATTCTTGATGTCTTCTAAATGACAGCAAGCCAGACGGAAGAATTTCACAGGGTGTTTAGTATCAGTACGATCTTTAATCCAAGTAAGATTTTTGATAATAATTCAGTTTGGTTTACTGTTGGGATAAATGCAAATGATCCTATATGCCTTCAATTTGAGAAGGAAAAAGGAAGAATATTATGACCACAGGCTCCGAGACAAACGACAGCTACCAGTAAATCTATCCCTGATTATCTGTGAAGCGCTCAAGAGCTCTGTGAAAATGAACCCTCGGTAAATTTGAACTCGAAAGCAGAAGAGATATCCAACCGTGTTATCAGCGATCTTGGCTGAGAATTTATGGCGGCCCAGTGGTTGGTGTTAATGGCTCATAGCTACCCCCCCCCCTCCCCCCGAACTGCGATTGCAGCTCAATCCAACAAAATGAGTCTTAAATCACCAGAACCAGTTTCGAGTTCACAAACCCTTTAAGAAATCTTTCACAATCGATATTAATAGAAATTGTCGATATTTTGCAGCTTAGTTTGTCTCATTATTTTGTCAGGATGTCGAATCGAGTGATATACCAAAATGAGGAACTCGGTTTACCCTTTCTTAATGCATGGAAAAACAAGTGAAAAATGTTCATTAAGACTCATTTTGCGGGAGCGGGTTGCTGGTGTAAATCCCAATCACTCAACACGCTAACTCCTGATTAGAATTTCTGCTGTGGGTGTTTGTAGCCGATGAGTTTTATCTGCAGCAGATCTGCTGGCAGTAGGGCAAGTCAATCGAAAGGTTGAAATTTGTATGGTCACACCATTTTCAAGAGTATATGTATACCACTTCAAAGGCTGTTTGTATTGGACGCCCCCCCCTCCCTTTTGCACTTTACCCCGCCCAAAATTTACCCCCCCTCCCAAAAAATTCCCTCCCAAAGAAAAAAAAAGAAAAAAAAACAAACAATAAAAATCGTTAAAACCAATCAATTTCTATGTAATTTTCATTTTTGTCTTGTTTTTAAATGTACGCATTTGTACTTCTGTCAATGAAAATATGAAAATAAGCCTCTGGGTTTTCGGGGTTTTTTTGCATGTACAATACTGTACACAGAAATTTTATTTTACAGGTTATCTTCGACTTTTAAATATACAACAGTATAAAAATCTACGCTCAGATTTTGAAATTTTTTTTGTTATAAATCAATAATCTTGTGTCATGTTGCAACTAGTCAAGGGCCAATTTCTATCGACCAATGTGCCCTGTGTCGTCATGGCGACAGGCAACCGCTGAGCACCCCAAACATTTAAGCGCCTTTGGGATGTTTTTTTGGCCTGTGTTAAACAATTTATGTCAACACTTTTAAAACATCCAAATTTCAAGAGATATACATGTACAGCAGAGGAGAACTGTTTGTTCGTAGAAAGTTGGCATCACGCCGCATCACACAGGTTTGTTTATGGTGTAAATCGAGGATTTTCTATTGTTCCTCTTCCCTTTTCCTTTGTTTATACTCCAACTTTTTTGCAACAGCTCTCATTTATTTTGTACACGTTTTCTAATCGAGGTCGTCCTCCATTTGGTTCCTGTCCTCAATTCATCGATGATGTTGCATGTGTGTGTCCTCGATTTACACCATAAACACGCACACCCAGTTTTGTAAGCAAATTTCAGACGGTCTACAATTTGGTGCCGACATCCAGGAACTTCTGAAATCCCCTTATCTGGTTCCCAGACTCATTTACTTAAAACTGAATGGTTCTGGAATCTGGAGTGCTGAATGGTAACACACAGTAACCAGTGAAAAGGCATGTGCCAATGAAAAAGATGTTTTTACCGGCTAAGTTTATGCCGTGCCGCCCTATTCTATACATGTACATAAGCTTCCATCAAATGTGTAAGCTTGGCTCACAGATAGGAAGTAATATACAGCACTATTTATGTACCACTTGTGCACTGCGGTAACATTATGGGTTTCGTGCGCAAGTACCCCCTCAACGGTAAGAAAGGGAGAGTTGGGCGAGACCACTGGGAGAGAGAGTCGAACACATCGCAAACGACGCTCGATGCTCACGTGAAGATGCTATTGCTTCGTGCACATTCATAATGAAATAAGCCATGCGTACTTCGCGCAAAATGCGCACAGATCAGTACGCAAAAACAGTAGCAAAAACGCCCTCTCTTGTTTGCGCGGAGCCCACAATAACAGGTCAATTCTAGATAATTTCAGTCTTTTAAAAATGTAGCATTCTTTAGGAATCACTGCCACTAAATCAGCAAGTTTGGAATGCCGTTGACGTATTTCCTCGCAAAATCCTCCGGAGGCCCACAAAATACCTCAACTTGTTGAAGTTTTAAACGGAGCTCTGCAAGTCACGATTGTTCGTAGGCAAGCAAGGCACCAGACTACTACGTAGTGCTTTCTTTATCTTCAGCCTCGGTGTAGTGCCTGTACTCCGGCTTGAGCTCCCACATTTGTTTGTGTGGTGCCCGCATGTTGTAGATGCCGATCTCTTTTAGGATCTCCTTCAGATAGGGCTGGAAAAAAAAATACAAAAAAAAATTGATAAAATATAAAAAACCTGACCAGAATGGATTTTATAATTTACGCAAATGATGTAAAACCTGTATAAGGTTTTTAAACCATTCCCACATAGATAAAGACAAAAACATCATGAATGCAAGATATGTGAAGTTGATGCAAGGAGAACACTCAGATCTAGCGGACAATTCCACGAAAATGTCAGCCCTGAAAAGGAGTTTGTCCAACTTACCGTTGGCTGTTGCGTGAGTCGCACGAGGTCTTTGAAGGCGTAGTACTGATGCTTCTCAAAGGCGTTAAAGAGAATGTCCTGAACTTTGTGCTTATCCATTCTGGCTTTTTTGCCTTCTTCTTTCTTCCGTCTGTCGTATTCAACCTTTTTTAATCGAGACAAGAAAAAAATTAGGTCAAGGGAACACATGGAGCGATTATGCTATAAAAAAATTGTGAAAATGGCAGCGCCCTGTATGTCATTCCAACAAGTGTTATCGTTTGGATAACTTTTAAAATCCTCCAAAATTTTTTTGACTAGAAGCGAAATATTGCCTGTAATATATGAACTTACTGCGGATGTAAAATAACAGAAAATTTCAGCCCCGACGACATCACTGCGTTTATTGTGTGTGTCGGCCATTTTTGAAAACTTACCAGTATCGTATTTGAGGTAGTTGTAGTGGATCATAAGTATACCACAAGAAAATCATAAGTAAATTCATAGGTAAATTCATAAGGAACAGGGAATTTCAATAGCTTGTGAGTTGAGTGATTATTGACTTGTGATGGACTTGTGATGGACTTGTGATGGACTTGTGATGGACTTGTGATGGTCTTGTGATTGACTTGTGATGGTCTTGTGATGGTCTTGTGGACTTGTGATGGACTTGTGATGGTCTTGTGATTGACTTGTGATGGACTTGTGACGGACTTGTGACGGACTTGTGATGGACTTGTGATGGACTTGTGATGGACTTGTGATGGACTTGTGATGGACTTGTGATGGACTTGTGATTGACTTGTGATGCACTTGTGATGGTCTTGTGATGAACTTGTGATCCATCACAAGAACCTGGTTCGGATTAATTAAGATGCCACAAAGCAGCAATAACTGCACTCACGTTGTGGGTGTGGTTCATGATGGGCTTAAAAGACTGCACCACTTTGTCTTCCAACTTGGTCATTCTGGTTGGCTTCTGGGCGTTCTCGATGTGTTTCCTGCTCAAAGAACATGAAATATGCAAAATTCATGAGATTTCTGATTACCAGAAGTCATCATTATGAAGTTATACTGAACAAATGAGGATTCGCCATCAAATGGCTGGATAGCTCAGTTGGTAGAGCACCAGAATGGCAATCCGGAGGTCGCAGGTTCAAACCCCGCTCCAGTCAATTTCTTTGTTCAAATTTTGAAGGGGAAAAAAAAAATTAAAAGAAAACAATTACTTGCAAAAAATTTATTGTTTGTTCTTTGGTGTTTTTTTGTCTAAGAGTAAGCAAATGATACATCAAAAAGGAATTCTCGTTCATGTTTATTCACGTTCATGTTTATTCACGAACCTCTTCATCTCCATGTAGCGATCATCGACCAGTGGCCTGCACTCTAGTCTGGATGCCACTTTGCCTTCGATTGCCAAATCTGGGAAAAAGACAAACGGACCAACAATTGAAACTGAAAATAAAACACGGGTACCCAGGTACCTGTTCAAAAACCTAACCCCAAAATTCAAAACTCGGAAATTGCTGTTTCATGAAGGTCTGCACCGATAATACTACTACATTGGTGCGTCAATACAGCAAGATACATTGTACAAGTGTGTACAGTGAGCTTTATAGCTGTAAACTGCAACTTTTGTGAGCGTCATAAACGTGGAAATGTTTTTGTTTTCCCATGTCTGGCTTTCATTTTGAAAATTCCCCACAAATGACATTGAAAGCCTTTCTTTTTTCATTGTCTGAGAAGATACTATGCTATTTGTAAAGTTGGTTACGGAAACCCGATCCCATAATCTGCACAGCCCTACTTAACTGTCTATGAAAACTAGAAAATTCAGTGCCCAACATTACAGTTAGTATCAGAAGAAAAAGAAATTATATAAAAAACACTTCCTTTCAGTTTGAAAAATTTGGGTTATTCAACAAGACATTTACCTGCTTTTGAAGCTTCTCCTTGTTCTGACGTTTCTATAAAGTGGGAAAAAATATGTGATTTTCAATAACTCGTAAATATAACCAGCCTCACGCTTGACACAAATCAAATTTTATGCTGAGGGTGCCAAAGAGTTGTGAAGTAAATTCTGGAAAAAATTTGAGACTTTTAAAAAAAAAATTTTCTCGTAAATGACAGTTTTGTTTTTCAAGTCATTATCACGCCATACAACAGTCAATGCTTTGCTGAATCAGTCCTGTTGTGAAGTCAAACTTTTGAAGTCCTTTTTCTTTGGAATATTCTTTGGAATAATTCGATTGGTGCAACTCTGAAATAACAGACTGAAATGGATGTTACCTTTTTAGGGGAAGCTTTTTTTGGGGGGGGGGGGGGGGAAACGATGCCTTGGGGGGGGGGGGGGGATCACGTCTTGTACAACTTCACAGTGCCTGTGCTCCACAATAAAGAATCTTTGAAATGACACAACTCTATTATTGGATTCTGCAGGATTTTTGATGGGCTGTGGGGAGGGGGATGTCTCACCATGTTCAACCTCTTCCGAAAACACCATCAGAGTTCTGTCCGAGGCGCTGAGAACTTGGAACTTATTCTCCGTGGGCATGCCAGTATCGTCCTCTTTCAGCTTCATACTGGCCAGGTCTCGCTTCATGGAGAAGTGGATATCGGGCTTGCCGAATCGCCTGCGAACAGAAACGCAGCTGGACCCAATTAGGAATCATTGGACCAATTAGGAATCCTTGAAACCCTGGACCAACTAGGAATCTTTTGAATCTTTGGACCAATCAAAAATCCTCAAGACCGTGAAAGAAGGCACATATGCCAGGACAGAAAAGCAGCTGAACCCAATTAGGAATCGTTGGACCAATTAGGAATCCTTGAATCCCTTGACCAACTAGGAATCTTTTGAATCTTTGGACCAATCGAAAATCCTCAAGACCACGAAAGAACGCACATAAGCCAGGATTTCCTTCAGTTAAGAAACATTTGGACTAGAATTGGCCGAGTGATTCTGTGTATAAGACAATTTGATTTTTCACTCACGCATGTGCAAACTCGCATGAAAAATGTTTTTTTTTTAATAAAACATGTCACGCAATCCTAGTCCAATGCTACATAGCAAGCTTCAGGCATGCAACTTGGAAGTTACAAAAAAAAGAGGCCATTCAAATCTTTCCAAGACTTTGTACAGTGTTTTTCTATTTTCAATGGCACACATGGGAAGTAAAAAAAAGAGGAAATCAGCTGATCCGAGAAAAAGTTGCATGCCTGAAGCTTGGTTTGTTTTGAGTCACACATTTCTGGCCAACAATGTTTTGCTCACACGAGATGTTGAATTGGCTTATAGCTACTTAACCCAATAATTGTAGGTCAATTTTTTTACTGGAAGTCCTTACACCACAGCTACTTACTGTCCCACTTTGATCTTGCCAATTTCTCCTGAATCGTCTGCCTTTTCCCATCGTTCTGAAATGTATTTCGGGACCTGCATTTGTGGGTAAACATCAAAAAGAAAATAATCGCAGCCCGTCAAAAAGTTTTATTAAATTGATTCCAAAATTGTACTTACAGTCAGTCATGATAATTGAGCAGAAAGTCCGATAGGGACGCCACTCGCCAAACGCATCAATTTTCATCTCACCTTGTGATTTCATTGAAGACAAATCCTTAGGCTAAGGCAAAACTAAAAACATCTCAGGAAAATGTATTTTTAGAGCTCTTTTGGGTGCAAACATTGTTCAGACAGCCGATCTGTAAGGCAGCCATACTGAGTCTGGGAGTCTGCAGTGCGCATGACCACGCACTAGCCGAAAACACTGCGATACCTCATCATGAACATTTAATGTCTCATGAATATTTAATTTATTTCATATTCATTAGTCTTACTTCAATAAATACATTAAATACATCAAATAGACCCTCAATGCCACCAACATGACCAAGTGCTCGTGGTCGAGCGGGTAAGGCTGGTGTGTTTAACTTTAATTATGACAGTTTCTCCACTCCCAGGCTTGATCCCATGGATGTCCACGAAGTAAGATGATTAATCTTACGAGGAATAACAAGGATTAATAACGAGGAATGTAGAACTGCAGCAGGGTGAAAGTTGAAGAGGGAAAGAATGAGTGAGGGCGCTCTTTCATTATTAGTCAATTGACATGATTGATATTTTGTAGGCCCTATCTGCCTATTGACTATTGTAATTTGTATTGTGCAAGCGTATTAAAACGCGTCGGGATGTTCATCAAAAAATTCTCAATACAAAAATAATACAATTACAAGACTACCTTCACTAGCCAAAGGCCATTATTACAGCCACTTATGTCGATCGTAGCTTTGTCGCTCATATCGATGAAATCAGACTTCCTCAAACCATCAACAAATCAATAAAACAGTTTTTTCCTTGGACTTCAGATCGTTTTCATCAAATTCGGTACGACTTCACTGTACAGTCTGACACTCTAAACATTTATCATTAGTAAAATACAAGGTCTGAAAAGGGTTCTAGACTTCCAGAAAATTGTGGAGATCTGAAACAGCGCCACCATTTGTCGACAAAAGTTTTCGGTTGCATTTACGGTGACGTTAAAGGGCGCCACCATGAACTCTTGACAGCTGCAGCTACTCCCCCCCCCGGATCCAGGACTTAATTTGTCTCAAATAGTAGGACAAGGTCTACATTTAGACGAGTTAAAGTGTTGACCAGTGGCGCACCCAAGGGGGGAGGGAGGGGGGGGGGGCCTTGAGCCCCCCAGAGGTTGTCAATTTTGGGGGTTTTTTTTGGTATTTTTTTTAGTCCCACGATTTGACCTTGTGTGTGGCTTATTTTCGAGTAGTATAATAGGGGTGTAAGTGGCGCCATCATATCAACGTCCAAATAGTCCCCCCCCCCCAAAAAAAAACCACCATTTTTTTTCTGCAGCCCAAAATGTTGGGCACAATTTTTGAAAACATTTTAACTTCTAAAAAATTGGAAACAAAACAAAATGTGAGCCCCCCCCCAAAAAAAAACCAACCAAAATAGTGGGTGTACCACTGGTGTTGACGTGACCATGAGCTCAGAGTTTTGTTAAAATTTGTTAGGAAAACCGTAGGATTATTATAGATGATGTGCATGTGCGGTACGGTCGGACGGGAGCCGCCTGCCAGACAGTCTGTTTCACAGCGCCGTCAAATCACTCTGAATCCCCCATCAAATCCACTCCCTGCCCGCTCACGTCACAGGCATAACACATGAATCACATGGAAAGAATGCAAAACATCCTTCTTCGAGCTTCGTCTATCACGTACAGCTAGACTTGGACACCGTCCCCCGCAGTGTCCACACTGAGATGAACCTGTCACAATCCTCATCTTGAAATTAATGCAACGCCCGTTTTGCGATGTGGATGGGGAAAGTCTATCCCTAGGATGTGAACAATAATTCTGTTGCTATTTTGGTGACAGTGAAATCGGATCATTCGGCGATCTTGGCTTGTTTACAACTTTTTTTTTAAGAGTCTCCCGCAGAACTCCAATTTTCAGTCGTCTTCGCGAAGCTTCTTGAAACTTTCTGATGATGAAATCGCCATCGTCTCTATGAAAGCAGCATATCGTTTCCTAGAACACATGAACAAAAGACGGGATTTTAAAGGCAACATTTGCCTTTAACATCTTTTATACTTTTGAGAGATAGAATAAGCTTTTTTTTTATTTTCAGGGAATAAGAATGATGTTGATGTGTTGCAAAGATCGCATCCTTTTCGAGTGACCTTGGAATTTTTTTCTGGGAGCGCGCGTGTGAACCATCACCGTTTGCACATGTGCACACGACACATTTTACCCACAATGCCCTTCGAAACTTCAGTCCAAAATGGAGGAACTCTCAGTGGAAGTACTGGACGCGAACGGTGCACATTTCAAGGTAAATTTCGTCCATTTATGATGGACTTGTTTTAATCCGGATGGCAGAAAGAGGGGCAGGGATGTTGTGGAAGTTGTTTGTGTGTGGTGCTTTTGGAAATTGCGGAGTTGGAAAGGATGAAATTCGGGTAGGAACCGAGGGTGACTGTGCATCACATTCCGCATCGCTCAACCATGTCAACGCGAATGTATACGTCTTGCTTGGTCATGTTGGTCGACGGCCGGTCATGCTGGTTACGTTTGACATGTCGGATTAGGCGTAGATGTGTGGCCGGCATTTTGTGTGTGCTTGCGAAAAATCATGCATTGCTTGACTACCATTGACTTCTTGATTGATAAACAACAGTTTTAAGAGAGCGCAACCCAGCAAAGGCAAAAGGGTTTAGCTATTTTAACTGAACAAGCATTCTGACAAGCACAAGCAAATAAAGTAAAATAGAGCTTGCCTTGGGCACGTTAGGTTGGGGGAAAAAATCAATTTCATTTTGTCATTTGTCAAGTTTGTGAACGTTCACTGTTCATCTGTTGAAAGTTGGTTTAAGTTGTTTTCGTCAAAATTCACTTTCCATTTAATGATGTGAGCCTTTTCCTGCCTTTTTTTTCAGTTTACTTTAAATTAGATTTTTGTTTTTGTTTCAATAGTAGGCTAATTAGCATCCACTATTTTGGTTGGGTACAAAGTCTATGGAGAGTAGAGTGCATTTTCAAAGTATTTTCTATTCTAACAAAATTGTAAATGTTTCTCAGTCCGAGATCATGACATTTGTCTTTTTCAACATTTTTACAATGACTGACATTCATTGAGATAATATATGAAGTTATGAATGATGCAAAAATTGGAATCAGGATGCAACATTCTTTTCCAATAAATGTGAATTTTTGTGAATGCTTACTATTGTGTTGAATTTGAAACATGGTTGACATTTGCTCTTGTCAAAGTTTACTTTCCACTAAATTATAAGAGCCTCATCCAAAGTCATCTTTGCAGTTAAAAGTAGGTTTTGTTCAATTTTTTTAAAAGCATATTTGCTGTAGAATTCATTATGCCAGCTTTTATAAATTACGAAAGGTTTGCGGAAAAACCATGTAATTTAATCTTTTATTCAACATTTTGCATACTACTTTTATCTGGTTACTGCCTTAATAACCATGTTAACTTTCAATAATCCTGACCCAAACTGGTTCACCCGTAAAGAAAAGAAATGGGAACATAACCAGGCAAAGTAAGAATTCCTTGATATGGGTGCTTCTCCAGTTTTAATGTGATGGAGAAAGTGGCCAAAGTATACTGCATTCTATCTGAAACTAGTTTATTTGTTTTTTGAACCATAGTTTCATTCACTTCAGACTGGGACATTGCGTGCAGAAAAAACAAAATCAGGCCAAATACTCACTCTTTATGTAGCTGAAAGAAAAATCTCGGAAAGAATGTTGCAACCTGAAGCCACTTTTTTTTCATCATTTTATCTCAATGAAGGTCAGTCATTGCAAAAATGTTGAAAAGACATGAATCTGGGACTGAGAAACATTTCCAATTTTGTTAGAAAATACTTTTAAAATGCACTTGACTCTCCATAGACTTTGTGCATGCAGCCAAAGAAGTGGTGTCTGGATACTACATTCTTTCCAAATTCTCTAAAATGTTCATGAGGCAAAGGCAAGGCCCTTGCCCTCGGTATTTCACCAGCCAAGTTTGAGGTCTCAATTTTTTGAAGGAGACTTTTCTTCAACATTTTGCACCTGAGAGTGATGCAAAGTGATTTCAATTTGAAGCCTAGGACTAGACTCGTACATGTCCAATTTTTTGAAAAATTGACTATTCGGTAGTCTGGTGGCATGACTATGGAAGGAATGTGTACAAATAGAGACTAGGTACCAGATGTTTCTTTTGGCACATTTGATTGATGCAGTACTAAACGGGTGTTGGACTGGTTGTTTCATGTGCCAGTCTTTTCTTGTATTGCATGTTTTTATTATCTTAAGTTTGGGACTCATCATACACAACATTGAGAGTCCCAAATTTTCGGACCATGTTGCTGACACTAGTAAAAGGAATGTTTGTCTACACTGAAATAATTTGTCTTGCAATGATCAAGTAGCATTTTTTTTCTGTTGTAAAAGCATTTTCATAAGGTTGGGGTTTGTCAAAGAATTGATGAATCCTTGACAGTGACATGATTTACATAATGCATACAATGTACATGTACATGTATATGTACCGTACATTGCACACTGTATCACAAACTGGGGAATTCCCAAATGAGCAACAGGGCTGTTCGGCGGCAGACATGTTGAAATGTCTTTTGCTTGACATTATGTACATTTTGAGAAGCATATGGGCACATGTATGACAAATAGGGTTGGTTCATGAATAATAATAACCGCACATACAATTATTGAACTATTGTATATTATGATATTCTTCATGAACCGATCCCACATGCGCCCAAATAGCGCTTCCCTGTACCTGCAGGAGTCAGCATCCTTCACTCTTTGAACTTGGAAATTTGTACTTAAAACAATAATTTGTTCATTGATGGGTTTACTTGGACTTGTTGAGTGTACGCTGTACTCGGAATTTTCTTCAGAAAATTCTGGGACAAAGGAATTTGTATGTGTTTGTTTTATGAGTCAAGACCATGTAAGGACTTGCTTTGACAATTTTGTAACAGAATACAGACCATAGACCTCATGCATGTGATGTCATCAATAGCACAACATGACCTCACTGAGGTCAAATCTAGACCTCACTGAGGTCAAATCTAGACCTCACTGAGGTCAAATCTATACATTGTGTACTGTGGGAAAGTGGCTGTGCATACCGTCTATTGCTTCACATTACGTGTACATTCTGGACAAGTGGACATGTACTGGAAGATTGAGGTTTTTGGAAAAAATGTTGATTATCCTGCTAAAGCTTACTACCCCAGATATGTTCAGCTTACAGAGAAAACATTCAAGAAATATCGGATGATTTTGGAGGATTGATGCTGTATGCAATTTGTACGTGGAGACAGTCCGCAGTTGGAGGATTTTGCAGTGAGGTTGCATCCTAGCAAAAAAAGCCGAGGGGGAATTAGGGTTAATATTATAAGATGGAATTTTGCTCCAGTGATTGCTGGAGGATTTTGCAGGATTGAGGCAGTGGTCACCCCTCCAAGGACCACATTCAAGAAATTGAAAAGGGTTAATATTCCTGTAAATATGCAAATGTATGTCTTCCACTTTCTGAGTGGAAATATTCACCATGTTTAGACGTCAGATTTCCCGAGTACTTAAATCTGTAGTGTGTTCATGTGTGTACATGTATTGTGTAACTTTTAATGGGATGTTTTCCCTTTCTTCATTTATAAAACTTCTCCCCGGTTAACACAACAGCTATACGTATTAAGCTTGTGTGAGGTTTGGGTGTGTCCCTACTCTGAGTTGTGTAATGTGTAGGGTGGGTTCTCTCATCTCAGGGCCAGAAAACAAACTGTGGGAAACTGGGACAATGGATCACATATTGTGGTCAGTATTAGGCATGTCAGAGAGGGCTTAGTGTGATTCTTGGAGTTTAACCAAGGTGGTAGGAAGAATAAAGTACTGATTCGGAAGTTTATTTAGGGAGGTGGGAATCTCCTAGTTTGGCCAAGGCATAAAAAAAAGAAGCTAGTTTGCCTGTTCTTGGGATAAATTGTTATTTTGTTATTATTCGTTTTTTTGGCGGGGATGGGGTAGGAGTTGGGGGGGGGGTACATTTATTTGTGAGAAACTCTTAGTTCTCAGGGGTGTGAAATCTCAGCTTAAAAGCTGATTTCACCTTTTTTTGTTTTGGATTTCTGCTTTTCTCCCTCACTTGCTGTGTACAAAAGTATAGGAGATTTCCAAAGTTCAGCTTTTTTTTTTACACCTTTTCCAGCTGTTTTCAGCTATTTTTATCAGTGGTCACTCACACCCCTGGTTCTGCTACCAAGTTGCAGATTTTGGCTTCAACTCAATGCAGGTTTTTAGGGTTCTGTTCCAGATGTGAACAGATTACATGTACTTCAAAATTTCACGTATTCTTAAAGTTTGTGCAGGTGTACATGTATGTATGTTTGTACTGTAGTGATGCTAAAATTTCTCCCAAATGATGTTGCACAAGAATTTGTTGTACACATATATGTACAGTTTTTCAGAATGTTAATTCTGTGAACAATTACATGTAAGTATAAAAAATGTGTCACATTCTAATCATATTTTAATGTTATGAATGTGGCGTAACAAATCTGATATGAAAAAAGTACAAATTTCTCAAGTGAAAGTGAGAAAGTGAGTTTGTACTGCACTATTCCCACAGAAGCTGAAAATACAATATGAGTACCGGTAGCTTTTTCCCACAAATATAGAATAATTTTTGTGGTTAACCCAAATCTCACTATCCCTCTTTGCTTTCAATGCAAATTGGGGCACAATACAATCACCGCGGTCAATGAGACCATCCTATACCTAATTTTGGGCCTAGTTATAGTACCAGTAACCTTGGGAGAAATTTACATTGTCCAGTGGTGTAGGAGGCGTGTTTGGCCAACAGGGCTTGTTTCAAGTGTCACTCTGGCCAGTTATGAAAATAAGGCCTCTTTTGTGCACTTCACGTTTGGAACAACATTCCATTGCCAGTTGGATAGGTTCACCATAGTTTCGTTTGGATAGTGGCATCCCTCTAAAAATTGGTGTGCGCCATTGATGTATAGTCGATTGGCCCTAACATGTCTGGACTGGCATAGCTATCGCCACTTCTTAATACTTTGAATTTTACTTGAATTATACATCACATCGTTCACACGCATTGGAAGCAGAACTTTCACATGTTGCTGAGAAATCAAGTGAAGAAATTAAGGCCTGCATAAAATTTTCATGGATAATCTCTCAATTCGGAGAACAAAATTAAGCAATTTTTCAGGTGGAACCAAGTCCGCGTGCATGCTGCACGCATTCTTAGTTAAAGACAAGATGCGCTTGCATTTTGATACACTATCG